TTTGTGTCACTTGCATGGATTAGCAATGTCCTTTTTGTATAGACACTGGAAGATAGTTGACCTATGCCTTTGTAACATGGGAGTTTATTGACCTCTGAAATAATATTTACTCCTGGGCATCCATAGTATTTACCTGACTTAAACTTTAGTTGTCTTTACTTCCTAACATATCCCAAAAGCAGGTTCTCGATGAAGGGACTGGATCGACCCAGGGCAAGCTATAAAGTACACTGGCATCAAAAGGAAACAAGCCAAGCACCATACGCATAATACGTTAAGAGCATGGTCATGGAACAAGCTCTGTCATGACCCCAAAAAAAGTAACCGAATAGGACCCTTCTGGGGTTAGGAAAGACTAACCTGGCCTAACGACTGTGGTCTGGAATATAGATCGACATGTCCCCAGGAAGAGCCAATCTTTAAGTTTAATATATCTCTTACTGTGTTCATACCTAGTGACCAGAAATGATGTAGGTGGGCCCCACAGAGGGCTCATGTGAAGTGGGGAGGAGAAAGATAGTCACTTTCTCGTGATCCGCCTCTGCCACCCAGGACCCAGGGTTTCTAGGTCTCACTCGCAGAAAGGAATTTCAGGAGTAGACAAGCAGTGAAGTAAATAGATTTTATTTGGAGGGACTTTGGAAGGGAAGAAAGTAGAGAAAGTGGGAGAGTGGAGAGTAAAAGAGACAGAGTAACATGCTCAAGAGAGAAAGCGGGCTTCTCCAAGGGCAGAGAGAGCCCCTACACACACCCCAACATTAGATAGGAGAGCATGAAAGTACATCTCAAGAGGGGAGATGCGGGTGACACTTGTGCTCAGGCACCGCATGTGCTTGGCCACGCAGATGCAAGCAGCACATGGGCTCGGGCAGCATATGCTCGCCCTTCCTTTGTTCAAGGTAGTTTTTGTAAACTCCTTGTGGGTTGTCTTGATTGAGAAATTCTGGAGTCTTCTCCAGGCTGAATCACTAAAATTAATTAAAGGATTTTCGAGGAGAAGAACTTCATGGGGAGGGGTCCAATCTTCAGATTCCTCAGGATCTGCTGAAGGTCTTATCAGGTCTTTGTTTTCCATATCCACAGAGTGGATCAGTTCTTAAAAGAAGTCTTGTTGACCTAAGTTTCATTGCCAAGAGCCTTTCCCTGTCTACCTGCCTACATCAGAGAGAGAAATAAACTGACTACCGACCAGTCTGGGGCCGTTTCTCCATTCCCCTGGTCGTTCATTAGTCCATCTGTTGCCACCGTGGACTGGTCAGTGGAACGGTTCTATACCATTGAACACTTGAGTCCCTTGCATGCTCCCATGCTTTTTCTTCGCGAGAACTCAGACTCAACTATTACTCCTGGCAGTGTTCAGGAGACCATATGTGGTGTCAGGGTTCAAACTGGGTCAACCACTTGCAAGGTTAGCACATCACTATTAACTACTGCATTATCTTTCTGCTTCTCCCTCTCAATTTTTATTTTATGGTCACGGTCACGGTCCTCCGTTGTTCATCAATTTGCTCAAGCGGGACCAGTAACGTCTCCATCATGAGACTTGTTGTTACTGTGTCTGGCATATCAAATACATCATGGGGAGCTTGCCAGGCTCTGCCGTGCGGGCGAGATACTCTCGGTAGCTTGCCGGGCTCCCCAAGAGGGGCGGAGGAATCGAACTCAGGTAGGCCATCCTGGCCGCTTGTAAGGCAAACGCCTTACCACTGTAATATGGTTACAATAGTGTTCATGTTTATGGTTTTGATGTACAAATTTATTGCATCTCCACCGCCACCCTTGTGGTGGTGCCTAAGACTTTAAAAAGTGCCTAAGACCTTCCACCCTTGTCCTTAGAAAGCCTGTTCCTTCTCTGCCTCCCACCACTTCCTCCTTGATTTGGTAATGTTTTATCATAAAAGGTCAATGATACGGTGATGCAATACTGCCCATTCCCTTGTCTTGTTGCTCTGTACAACACAGATGAATGAGATCATCCAGTATTTGTCCTTCTCCCTCTGACTTATTTTAACTTACATGATACTTCCTAGTTCCATCCAAGGTTCAGCAAATGGCAAGATTTCTTACAACCATGTATTTGTTCATTGATTCATTCATCTGTCTTCAGACTCTTAGGTTGTTTCTATATCCTGGCCATTGTAATCAGCACTGTGAAATGTAAGTGTGCAGATACCTTTCAAGTTAATGCGCTTGTGTTCTTTATGTAAAGACCAAAAACAGGTAAATCTCTGTTACTTTGCCAGAGATTCTGGAGGCGTACATCACCTACGTTTTCTTCCATCTACCCCAGTTAGATCCTAGCCCTGCATATTTCTCCCAGCACTCCGCAGCACAGGGCCAGGAACAGCCCTGAACACCACAGGATGTGTCCCAACCCTTTCACAAAAAAGTAAAGAAACCATTTCAATTGGCTGATGGTTTCAATTAAAATTTCCAGACATTGGTGCTAGAGAGATAACCTAGTGGGTAGGGCACTTGCATAGTATGTAGCTGACCTGGGTTTGATATCTGCCACCTAAAATGTCCCCTAAGATGCCAGAAATGAGAACCAGGAGTAAGCCATAAGCACTGCCATGTGTGCTCAAGGCACCAAGTCAATAAATAAATAAATAGATAGATAGATAAATAAAAATAAATCTTAGATTTTATTTTAAATTATTATTAAATATTAATAAGTAATATTAAATTAAAACAATTTATAATTGACTATACAATACAAATAAAATCTGTATTTTTAAAAGACAATACAAATAAATTTGAGGTAAGACAGAAAACAAATATGGTATCATCTACTCAGGGTCAGGATTTCATTGGATTTAATTATGCACATAATATATTAAATCACACAATCAAGAACTGTAATACTACAACTTTGTTTTTGTCTTATGACATAGTAGGCACAAAACTGACATATTAATAAACACTGACTATAACTTTTAATATCTATGAATTAAAATTACTATTTAAATCAAAGTCTGCGTAATGCTACTGTAAGCTATATTTAAAATATTATATTTCCTTATACTGTGAGAAAATGCACTATAAAACTGAAATAGTAAGAAAGAAAAATACAAGAACAAAAAATTCAGTTCCTTGGGACTAAAGTGATAGTACAGCAGGTAGGGGATTTGCTTTGCATGTGGCTGATCCAGGTTCAATTTCTGGCATCCCAAATGGTCCCCTGAGCCCCCCAGGAGTGATTCAAGAGCACAGAGCCAGGAGTAAGACCTACGCACCACCGGGAGAGGCCCAAAACACAAAAATCTAAACCAAAATGTTCAGGTCCTCAAAGCAATAACAAAAGGGGATAGAGTGTTTGCCTTGCCCATGGCAAACCTGGGTTCAATTCCCAGCACCTGATATGGTCCCTTTAACCCGCAAGGAGTGATCTCTGAGCACAAAACCAGGTGTAAGCCCTGACACCACTGAGTGAGACCTAAAAACAAAACAAACAAACAAACAAAAAGAAATAATAGCAAATTGTTTCTATCTTCATCTTTCAATTATATTTTTTACATAAAAATAGGACTAAGATATCTGAAGAAACTATTGTTTAAGTTGTCTTTTATTTGAAAATGAAAATTTGTCAGAAATATTACTAAGAGAAATGAGATCTTAATACATATTAATATATATATATCTGCCTTTTTTTAGGTCATGCACTCAGGAATTACTCCTGGCGGTGCTCAGGGGATCCTATGGGATGCTAGGAATCGAACCCGGGTTGGCCACATGCAAGGCCTTACCTGCTGTGCTACTGCTCCAGCCCCCATATTAATATTTTTAACTGTACCTTTCTCACTAGAAAATAATAAAGATAGAGTATAATTTATTCTTTTTTACATATTTGTATAAAGTACAAACATAACTGCCAAGAGTAAAATACTGCCACAATCCTAGATAAGAAAATACCTTGAATACAAAACTAAATATTTTAAAGTGAATTAAGTGCTTATTTCTAAAACAAATTAAAAAATAAAATGAATCATATTTTTCTCAAAATTCATTCAACAAAGAAAACAAAACCATGATATTATTTCCTAAAACTAAGATTTTGCTAAGCTAATATTCTAAGTAAATAGTCTTTACAGAAGTTATGATAAAAAAGTAGCTAAAATGAGTCTACAAGTTATGGAAAAATATTAGGATCAAATATAGCAGCTCATTGCCAACAAAGTGATTAAGTGCCGAAAATTTTTTATGCTAAGAAAAGGCTTATGTGAATCTCTGAAAGCCCTTACACATGTTTTTACATTCACTATAAAACATTATAAATGAATCATTCTTCTCTATCATTCCTAATTTCTCATTTTTAAATTATAGTACAGTGGACAGGGCATTTGTCTTGCATGTGGCTGACCTGGGCCCATATGGGCCCCCAACACCAGGAGTAATTCCTGAGTGCAGAGCCCAGAGTAACCCCTGAGCATTCCTAGGTGTGACCCAAAAAGACACACACACACACACAAAAACTCTAGGGGCCACAGAGACAGTAAAGGAGTATGGCACACGCCGTGCATGCAGCTGACCAGGTTTGATCCCTGGAACTACATATGGTCCCCTGAGCACTGCCAGGGGTCCCTCTAAGCACGAAGCCAGAAGCAGCCCCTGCACACTGCAGGATGTGGTCTCATACTACACGTCTGCCCCTCCCCCATCAAACAAGACAAAGATAAATCTATCTACTAGGATTCATTTCTAACCCATACATAATGAAAGTAAAATTCCCATAATTGTCAAAAAGGATTAAGAATTAAATTAGCAAAGAATCCAAATTTGCTACCAGGGAGATGCCATTTGGGGAGGGAGACTGTGCTTGCCTTTCACTAATTAAATCTGTAAACTTAAAACAAGCAAGAACTAGGCAGGAGAGCAAGCCATAGGTTGAGCACATGATTTATATGCTGTAGGCCTGGACCCCTAAGCACTGCCAGGAGTGACCCCCAAGCACAGAGCTGGGAGTAATACCTGAACACTATGGATGTGGTCCCCAAATTTCACTAATTAAAAAAATAGAAATTTTCAATTAAAGATGAATCATGAATTGGTCAATATTCATTTAAAAAATACATCCAAGGTGTTTTGGGGGTTATTTGCTTGTGCCTTCTTAGAAGCTGCATTCTTTGCCACCAATCCAGACCTGGAATGAAAAGTGAACAGTGTTCAAAAGCAGGAAGAGATTTAAACATTTTTACAAATAACTGCTTTTTAAAAAGTTACTTGGCCTAATGGAAAATTTTAACATTTCCAGAAAGTTATACTTCAAAATTTTGAGTTTTATAGCCAGCTTTATTACAGCTCAAATTAACCATACCTTTTTGTTTTTGTTATAGCCTTGTGTATTCTGCCTGAGTTACCTATAGAGGAGAGAGAAATGAAGACATTTCATAATGAATAGCAAATAATTAAAATAAAAACTTACAACTAAAGACAAAAAGTTCATGTTTATACATATCAGGAACAAATTTTATAAGCACACATTTTTTTAAATTTAATTATTTTATTTGTAGTATGGGGCAAGCTCCCCGTGGCGTATTCGATATGCCAAAAACAGTAACAACAAGTCTCATAATGAAGACGTTACTGGTAATCACTCAAGCAAATCGGTGAACAACGGGATGACAGTGACAGTGACCGTGATGCTTTATTTGAGAAATTTGGCTGGTGAGAGTGAGATTGATTCAAAAAACAGGGTAAGGACTATGTGATTATCATTGCTACACCACTGTGCCCTGAAAAATGTTCCCTGGGGTCACTCCTCTATACCCCGAACTTCGGCATAAAGCCAAGCCCAAACCAAAGTAATATGATGGTTTTCAAAAATTTTAACCTATGTTAAGGCCACTAACGTTTTTCTAAATGGCAGCATAAGGAAAATATTCCTTTAAACAGAATGTGTTTCAGATTTAACAACATCTCAACTTAAACAGAGCTTTCTGAGAGAATCATTTCCTTTAAAATGACTGCAAACTCACCAGTATGTTTGATGCTTCCCATGGACTGGTTAGTTGGTTTATCTTCATCCTTTTTTAGTTCCTGGATAATGCTTTTGTTTAAGCAAACGTCTACATGTACATTGAACAGGGTAAGATCTGAAGTCTCTTGTTCTAGGTTACAAACTGGACATACCAGGGGGTGGTTTGTTATTTCATATGGTTGGAGGGGTTCTTGCCTACTTAAGGACTTGGTATCTTCATTTTCCAATGAAACTGTACAAGATGAATTCTGGTGACAGAGTTCAATATTAGATGATCTACATGGAAGATTAGAACATTCCTCCACGCTGCTTTTATTATTTACAGCATCGAAAATTTCTACTTTGGATGGGCTACCTACAGTCTCTACCAAATTGATAACATCTACTGAAGTAATTTCTGTAGTTTTCTGATGGGTCTCAAAATCCTGCCTCTTGTTGGAATGATTTATCTGTTCTCTTTTGTTCATTTCTGTGGTGGGAGCATGTGTGCATGAGAATATTTCTGAGTTTTCACTGATTGAGGATCCATCAAGACATGCATCTACATGTTTATTAAAGGCTTCCAGGCTATAGCCTCCTTGCTCCTTAAAGCAAATAGGGCAGGTAAATAGCTGACAGTTATCTGAATTATCTGATGTTTCTAAGTTCTCACTCTTCTTCTTCTTTAGAACTTGGAAAGACCGTGATGTCTGTAAACTTTGTTTATCCACAGTGTTGTCACATTTAAGTGTGTCTTGGTTGCCACATGCTCTTTCTGATCTCTTTTTATCAAAGAAACTCTTCTTGGGAGACATTTCTGGAGGTTTTAGAAACTTTTCTTTGTTTGTTTTCTCTAGTAAACACCCAGTGGATGGCAAGGCTTGACTGCCAGTCTGTAAGAAGCCAATAATGCTTCTTTGTTGGTGTTTCTTGTCTTCTTCACTGGGAAAGCCGGAGACCCGCACACCTAAGTTAAGCCAACCACAATTAATCAATTTCAAATTTAACAAAGCAAATCCATTCAGAACACATAAGAACATTTTGCACAATATTGTTAGCATTTTTAGAGGAAGAAAAAAAAGAAACTACAGATTATCTGAATTAAATTATGCCTTTTCAAGCTGGTATTGAGTGAAAATCTGGGTTCCATTATAAAATTGTGTTTCACTGAATAGTGTCTACTGGAGTAGACAAGATGACATAGGTCTTTCAATAAATATCTAACACGATACCACTAAGTATCAAGAAGCTAACTGGGTTCAACTACATAGATTCCTTTGTTGTTGTTGTTGCTTTTGGCCCACACCCAGCTGTACTCAGGGTTTACTCCTAGCTCTGTACTCAGGGACCATTTCTGCTGTACCTCAGGGGACCATCTGGAGTGCTGGAGATAGAATTTGAGCTGGTGTACTATGAATTATGGTACATATTTCTATAGTATCATACTACCCTACTTGCTGTACTATTTCTCCTGACCAACTACAGAGATTCTTTAGGCTTTCTCCCTGTATGAGCCTTATTTTTTAGAAGAAATTTAGATTCACAATATTGAACAGAAAGTACAGAGTACCCACATATTCCCTTCTCCCCACCCCTGCTCCTACATATTCAGCCTTTCCACTTACAGCATCTTGTGCCAGAGTGGTGCATTTGTAATAACTGATGAACCTCTACTGACACAAATTATTATTTAAAGTCTATAGTAAATCCTTTGGACTTTTTTCGTTTGGTATGTGTGTGTGAATCAATAAAGTTTTTTTATTAAAACTTATTTATAAAGATGTGAAGGGAGAGAAAGGGAGAAGTAGGTGTTTGAGAGAGAACACAGACTTCTGCAGAGTGGAAATAGGCGAGCATAGAGACAAGCAAGTGAGATCTCTGAGGACACTTTGTGTTCGAGTCTTCCCAACTGTCCAACCCTTGGAAACGACTGATCTTTTCAGTATCCTCATCATTTTGTCTTTCTAGAATATCATGAAATTGAAATTATACATTATATAAACTTTTAATTGGATTCTTTCACTTAATAACACACATTTAAGGTTCCTCCAGGTCTTTTATTGGTTGATAGATCATTTCTTTCTTTCTTTTGTTTTTGTGTTAGGGCCATACCCAGCAGTGCTCAGGGCTTACTCTTGGCTCTGTGTTAAGGGATCACACCTGGAGGGGGTTGAGGACCATAGAGGGGGCCAGAAATTGAACCCAAATTGGCTGTGTCCAAGCACCTTACCTGCTGTACTATCTCTCCTACCCTTTCTTCTTTCATGTGCTGAATATTACTACACTGTCAGCACAAAACCACTGTTTTCATTCACCTATTACTTTATTATTTATTTACTTATTTTGCCTTTTTTTTTTTGGCTTTTTGAGTCACACCCGGCGATGCACAGGGGTTCCTCCTGGCTCTGCACTCAGGAGTTACCCCCTGGTGGTGCTCAGGGGACCATATGGGATGCTGGGAATTGAACCTGGGTCAGCCGCTGTGCTATTGCTCCAGCCCTATACCTATTACTTTAGAGCATCTTGGTTGCTTCAAAGTTTTGATAATAACAAATAAAGCTATTATAAATAACTGCTTTTATATCTCTTCACTATCTTTTAATACTTTATTATGCTCTCTAATACTTTGTTCAATAAATTTCAATTTTTGCCATATTTTTTTTAATATTTGAAAGTATAGCTAATGATCCAGTCTTAGTAGTGAAGTTGGCATTTGGAGTACTTATTCCTTCACAATCTCTCCTCCAGTTGACTTTGGAAACATGGTTTTTTATTTTTTTCTTTACAATGTGGAGGCTAGAGATGAGGTTTACTTTTAAATAGCACTATAATATATAATCAAAAGTTTAAAAAACTTAAAAATGTAAGAAACAAAAGACAACTGACAACTGAAATGACGGAGGCCATGTAACAGTTTTAACAACTCAACGTGAATATGTTTTGTTTTGCTCAGAAAGATTAAAGTGTTTGACAATGAAATGCTGCTTCTAATTCCAAAATAGTATGATGTAATACATGCAATAGACATTAAACTGGTTTTCCAAAATCTGAAAATAAAAGTTTTAAAATACATTTAGATACAAAGATCCTAGTAAGCAGTAAGGAAAAGAATGAATTTAAGTGATTTTTATTTGAATTAAACGAAAGACCATGATTCCATTTATGAGTTTCTAAGAAATAATAAAGACAGTAGTATCATAGGTACAAATTCCTGAACAGATTTAAGAACTAAAAAGAGAGGTCATAGAGACAATACATGGGTTAAAGCATGTGCCTTGGATGCAGCAAACTCTGGTTCAATCCCTGGCACCTCCAGAGCACTCTCAGGAGTGATCTCTACGTACAGAGTAAGCTCTGAGCACCACTGAATGTGACTCACATCCTCCCCCCAAAAATAAAGAAAATGGGGGCCAAGGAGATGAATCAAAGGACTGGAGAACATGCCAGCAAGGATGAGACCCTCAATTCAAACTTGGGGCACCTCCTGGCCTCCCAGGACCACTGGGTACAGTCCCAATAGTCCCCACAATGCTGGAAGGCCCCCCAAAAATGGGAAAAAATGAGAGTGAGTGAGGCTATTTCTAAAATTTATTTTTTAGAGAAATCTAAAACCAAAAAAAAAAAAGAAAAGAAAAGAAAAAGTCATACCCATAAGTCTTAATCTTAAGGGATGTGGAAAATCAGCATCAATTTCTGTTCTTAACAATTCCTTGGCAATAGCAAATATTTCTTCTGAGGTAGAAACAACAGATGAAATGGTAGATGCACGGGTCTTTACTTCAAAATTCACATTCTTCAGCTTAATGGTAACAGTTCTCCCCTATAAAAGAATAAACTTCATTATGTGTAGCTTTCTGGATTCCAGGAGGAAAAGGTTATTTCACAGAACAGAAAAATCGAAAAAGTCTCTTCTATAAATATGGAAGTAATACAAAAGACCATAATATACAGTGATAAAAATTGTCACAAAATGCTCTGGTTTCTTTCAGATCATATTTTTACTAAAGATTTTTATGGAGAGGAACCAAAAAAATTGTCATAAAGATGAACTAAAATACCTAAGTAAACTAAAAAATCTCATTGTGGTCAATAATTATTACTCTCTTTCCCAAATAAATTTTCATAAGATTTTAATAAAACGACAATATTGATCACATATTTTTCTTTTAACGGATCTCTAGAAATTCAGTACCTAAGAAAAGGAAAGAAAAATTCCTCTGGAGAGGTCTCACTGAAAGGTCTTCTGGATATCTCATATTAATTATGTGTCCACTAAATGGCAGATACCATGGTAAACAATTTACATGTGAGAACTCTCTTTGTTAGTTATATTTATTATTTAATGGAGAGTGATACCAATGGACTGAGCATATACTTTGCAGGTTTGATCTCTGGCACTACATGATCCCTTGAGCACTACCCAGAATGACCAATAAGCAGAGCCAGGAGTAGCCCCTAAGAACCATCAGTATATAGGTTCTTATAGCCCCTAAGAACCCATAAAAAACAAACAAAAAAAAGAGGGAAAAAAACCCTCTCTTTAGAGTTTCTTGACTCTTTAGAGTCAAGATATTAATAGAGAAGAATAAAAATGCTCATTACATATCCCATTTATATAAGAAATTTTAAAACACTTCTTAAAAATTATACTGTGTAATAATTTTTTTGTTCGAAAGTGTTGGAAAATGCTAAATGTAGGGCTGAAAAGAGATAGTTCAAAGGGCTGGGGTCATGCTTTGCATGTAAGAAGCTTGGGGTTAGTCCTGGGTACAGCATGAGCCCCTCAGTACCGCCAGGCATGACCCTTGAGCACAGAACAGGAAGTAACCCCCACGCATCACTGGGTGTGGTTCAAAACCTAAAGCCAAGCCAAAAAAATTTCTAAATAAATGTTGCATGTTGTGGGTAAAGATAAGATAGAAAGTTCAAAGCTTTCCAGGTTTTGTTCTCAAAGTGTTCAGCAAAAACACTTTGGATTAAGGCTTTGAAATAAAAAGCCTGTTCTAAAAGGTCATTGTCTACCTGGGAAGCATTAAAGATTGCTTGGAAAGGCATTAATAATATGCAAATACAGTTCTAGGGAAATCCTCTATTTTCTGATGCCAATATAGCTCTACTTTGGAACTTATTCAAAAGTACTCCTGAGGCAGTACTAACGCCTCTGCAATTAATTATACAGGAACCACTCCACCCTCATAAGTTCCTTCTTCATAAAATGACCTCATCATAGACCTCAATATGGGTCAGAATTTAATTGGTCTCTGTTGTGCACAACAATATTCTTTCCTGGTATTCCCAAGCTTGTATTCAAATAGAAAATTTAACTCTTGCTTTAAGGTAGCTTTCATCATTAATGCTGTTTTGTTGTTGTTGTAGTTAATGGGGTTAGGGGATGTTCAAAGGGTGAGAACACAGTTCTGAGCACGGAGGAGGCCCAGGTTTGATCCTTGGAAACATATCATCCCCCTGAGTTCCACCAGGAGCCACCCCTGACCCAGGCACTACCAGGTGTAGCTCCAAAACCCAAGCAGCCCCTGGCACTACCAGGTGTAGCTCCAAAACCCAAGGCCACCTCCCTTGAGTTTTTAAATGAAGACCACCACATCAAAATAAAGTACCTTCAGGCCTTCTTTTTGCAGATCTTGAGCAAGTTCACCACAAAGATCTCTGCACAAACTGTACTGTTCTTCTGCTTTACTTATCTCACTGAATGTCCTAGAAAGATAAGAATGATTCTGATGCACAAAGTAAACTATAATTCAGGATAATTTAGAATGACACACTACGTTTATGTGTGTGTCATCAAGGTCTAGCATTGAGACATATTGCATAAAAACATTAAAGATTTACTTAAACAATGAAAGATCCTGTAGATTGCTGAGCTCTTTAGCAAAAGTTTATTTGCTCTTTCTATAAAGTATGCTTTAAAAAAATTATAGCTACTAATAGTTACTGATAATGCCCCCAGAGCATTAGGGTATATGAGGTATAGAGACTACTACTTAAGAAAGTACAGATGAGGGGCTATGAGATAGTTCAAAGAAATGGAACATAAGATTCACATGCAGGAACACTGCCACCACCAATGAGGGATAAATCCCCCAGATCACACTGTCCCCAGAGCACTGCCAAGAGTGACATGTAAGCACTGAGCTTGTATATGAACCAAATACAAACAAAAAAAATCTTCCCCCCCAAAAAATCTTACAATTTCTGTGCATGTATTTTCAGGAAAAGAAAGAATTATCTTCCAGTAGAGTTAAAAGGCTGGTTTATGGCACATTCGCAGAGTTGTCTAACAGATACTGAGATATTGTTTTATTTTAATTTTTTTTTACAAGCAAGGATAGGCAGAGAGGACTAGTAAGATTAAAATGAGAAATTTTGAATTCATTTGCATAGTAAAATTGAAAAAAGTTGAAACTTTAAATTTGCATGAATGAGAAAGACACTAAAAGCTCGGGATAAGTAAAAAAATATGCATAAACAACTTCTGTGAAAAATGCCCCCTTCCAACTGTCCACCAGAGGCAATCCAAGTTGCCAGCTAGCTTCCAATTCTATGAATTCCTCCAGAAATATCCTATGGACATCTAAGCAAAAGTACATGTTCTCTTTTCCTTTTTCTTTTTTGTTTTGTTGGGGTTAAACCTAGCAATGCTCAGGGGTTACTCATGGCTCTGCACTCAGCAATTTCTCTGTCAGTGCGCAGGGTTACACATGGGATGCCAGGTATAGAACCTGGGTCAGCTGAGGGCAAGGTAAGTGCCCTACCCAGTGTACTATATCTCTTCAGCCCCATCCTCTAGTTTTTAAAATGTAAGCAGTGGACAATTAGAATGTTGATTAGAACTGCGCTTTTAAATTCCATCCTGGTCAAAGCTCCCTATGAGTAAATAATTCTTTAGTTTTTATATGGCAGTATAATAATATTCTAAACTAAAGGTATGTGATCATTAAGACAATTTTATAGAGACTGGAGAAATATCTCAACAACCTGAGCTCATGCTTTGCATGGACTTATTTCCAGGCACCATATGCTCCCGTGAGCACTGCTAAGCTTAGAGTCAGACAGAGATAGTTCCAGAGCATCACCAACTGCGATCCAAAACCAACAACTAAACTCACAAATCTTTAGATTATACTCAATCTATTGATATTATAAAAATGCAATGAATTGCCTTCAGTACATGTAAAATGACAAGTACTTTACAGATTCTGATGAATTTCAGAAAAAGAATTGGGGGAGTCGAAAGTACATACATATCTCTAAGTTTGATAGATTTTGTCAATTTGCTTGTCCCCTCTGAAAGACAAAATACTAGCTCCCCCTAAATAAGCAAACCTTCCCCAAATCAGGTGTATGACGTGGAAAAGGGACTTAGCGAGAGTGATTAAGATGGGAAGACAACGCAGTCCAAAGTAATCTCGAAAGTCCTTATAAGGGAGGCTGGAAGGTTGGTGTAAGAAGGAGAAGGCGGAGTCTGAAGATGGAGAGGGCCCAGAAGGGAAGCAGCCTCTGGAAATTAAGGGAAAGGTTCTAAATTCTGTGGAACCTCTAGAAGGAACTCAATCTTGCTGACACAATGATTTTAGTAATTCTGACCTCCAAGATTATAAAGGATTAAGTTTGTGTTGCTTTACACCACTATATATTGGAGGGTCAGAGGTACATACGTGGGTTAAGCTGCTCACCTTGCATGCAACTGACCCTGATCCACGAGAGCAGCAGAAGTGACCCATGGGGAGCTGGAGTGATAGCACAGTGGGTAGGATGGTTGCCTTGCATGTGGCTGACCTGGGTTCGATTCCCAGCATCCTATATGGGCCCCTGAGGACTGCCAGGAATAATTCCTGAGTACAGAGCCAGGAGTAACCCCTGAGCATTACCGGGTGTGATCCAAAAAGCAAAAAAAAAAAAAAAAAAAAAAAAGCCACTACATTTTTAGCAATTTCTGGTAGTACCAAAAAAGAAACTAGTATATCCCTTCTAAATACTGTACCTTTTCACTCCCATAGTCTTGCTAACAGAATATGTTAGAGTTTTTGCCAACAGGATTACTGAAAAATGTTATGTCAGCACTGTTCTGTATTTAGTAAATTACAAAGATGAGAAGTCTTTTTTGATGTTTTATGAGTCACTAGTATTTGTTTTTTTCTTATAATTATATTTTTGTTAATTTTTCCATTATTTGCTGACTTTTTCTCAGGAACTTCACTGATTAAAAACAAAAAACAAAAAACCCCCCAAATACCTGAACTCAAGTTGAAAAGTGTTCACTCCTCTCTCTGCCTCTCCTCTTCTCTCCCTCTCCTTTCTCTCCATCCTCCTCTCTCCTTTCTCTCTCCTTCTCTCTTTCCCCATCCTTCTCCCTCTTCCTTTTCCTCCCCCTCCCTTTCACTCTTCCTTTCTCTCTCCCCCACTCCCTCCCTCTCCCTCTCTTATTTCTCTAAATCAAGTTATCTTACTTTACTAAAAACAAATTACAATCTCAGGCCTGGAAAGACAGTACAGTGGCTCTAGTCTTGTGGAAGGCCAACCTGGGTTCAGTCTCTGCAAAGAATATTTTTCCCAAGATCCCTGCCTCCTGCCGGGATGATTTGAGTGCAGAACTAGGAGTAAGTCAGTGTGGCCCAAAAATGAAAAATAAAAAAATTATTAGAACTTCACTTTTGGATGCTTCTTTTCTACCCTTCTTTCCCTTTGATTGCTTGCACAAAATCATAGCCTAAATACTACTTTTTATCAGTCATTTATTGACTGCGTTGTTCTGTGAAAGCCACTCAACTCTTCTGACCACAAATAATATATATGAAAAATGAACATAACCTTGTAATAGATCAGCAGTTCTTAAATGTCTCAGAGGAAATTTTAGGCCTTGAGGAGATAACTGAGGGACATTTAAGACAGTTATATATTTCCCAAGATCAATAATTTTCCATCAGGATTTTATTTGACTTTCAAACAAGATTTAAATCATTGAACTAGCTTATTCTAAGCTGTCTATCATCAATACTCTTATTATTTGATGCCTATACTTGTTCACCATTATTTACAGTGCTTCAGGAAGATTTTCTATTGTCATTTTTTAAATTCCCCAAATAACTTCTCAGTATAATTTTTCTTACAATCAACACTGAAGCAGAAATCTAAAAATGCTTGGTTTTCACTGAATAGGAACAGAATCAACATTAAGAAAATTGTAGTCATATTTTTCCCTCATAGAGCAAATAATAAAGCATTGAACTTTGATATTTATATCTGGAGTACCAGCTGCTAGAAAAAATATGATTTGATTTGCAAACTCACTGACACTTTTCAAAAACTTTAAAATAACATAAACAATTAATAATAAAAATTACCTTTCAACACTCATGCTTTTCCTCTCTCCATCCCTTGAAATGAAAAAAAAGTTTTTAGCTGTTTACTCAGAGGAAACAGAAAAGTTAGTCAATAAAGCTTTTCAAAGTATCATTAGATCACCTTTTTTAAAGGCTGCTCTGTAAAATAAGAATCATCTTTCTTTCCACAACAATCTGACCACCAGTATTCTTACTTTCTGAACAAAGAATAAGTATAGAAAAAAGAACAAGTATCTCTTATTATATATTCAACTACTGTAGTCAAAAATCTATGGAGTGGTTCTTTTTGTTATTCGCACATCTAATATTTTGACTTTAATGAAAAAAATCATCATCTTGGCAGAGGACAGATAGTACAGCAGGCAAGGCACTTGCCTTGCATGCAGCCAACCTGGGTTCGATCCCCAGCATCCCCTATGGTCGAGCATGTCCTGAGTATCACAGGGTGTGGCCCAACACTCCACCCCACTCAAATTATCATCTGCATTGAACTAGCCTAGAATTTTAAAACATGTTCTCCTTATAGACTGCTTCTCAATGGCTAAAGTTATTATTTCAGTAAATAAAGAAGAAAAAAATGCGCGATGACTATGCATAGATACCTTGCCAGGTTTGTAGAACCTAGACCCAAGGCAATGTGAAGAAAATAATGCCAAGATGTTTCAGAGAAAAGGAGAGAAAGTAATGCTCTCTGTTGGTAGAGTTCTGTACAAGTAGTAACTCCAAGGGCCTTCAACATTTTCTCTGTAACTTTTCCTATTCCAGAAACCTAGAAGAGAACCAATATTATTATTAATGTTTTTTAAATTAAAGCTACTGTTATTATAATTTTATTAAACATGAGAGGAGTGTATTTTGGACCATGGTCAGCAGTGTTTGGGGACTACTCCTGAGCTTATGCGCTTAGAAATAGCCCCACCTGATGCTCAGAGGACAGGTGGTGTCAGGAATTGAAAAGGGGAGAGGCCATATACAAGCAAGTGCCTTAGCCCCTGTACTATTTCTCACTTTCTAAAGTGATACTGCATGGAAATTTCAAGTTTATATGGCACTGAATTTAAAAAACATTAAGTTTTACTAAAAATAAAGAAAAGATTCTTTATGGCCATAAAAACATGGGAAATGGTTGAACAAACACACTTATGTTGAATTTTTCATAGCGAGATTTATGAACCTTTATTATATTATTTTATACTACAACTTACATATATGAAAGCACTACTTTATACTACAACTTACATATATGAAACTATTCATTACTGACCATACATTATATACATTTATGTAGCTTTTCTTTTGAGCACTGAAAAATGATTTATTTAAAATCATTTGTATACATTATGGAGAAAAAAGCAAGTCCTAAAACTCTAAAATATAGAATCGTCCATTCTCAGTGCTCAAAAGAAAAGCTATACAAATGCATATAATGTATGGTGAGTAATGAATAATTTCATATATGTAGGTTGTGGCATAAAGCAGTGCTTTCATATACGTAAGTTGCAATATAAAGTAACACATAACTTGAGAAAGCATATTTCTCAAGATGTGTATTGTGTTCTATTAAAAAATATTCTGGAGCCATGCAGGTGGTTTAGCGGAGAAACACTTGCCTTCAATGTGTGAGAACCTGGCATTGGAAACAAACAAACAAAAATGCAAAGAAAAAGGTTATTCTGATGTTAGTTCCTGAGCACAACTGGGTGTGGACCCACAAGCTCTCTTCCTCCAATAAAACAAATGCCATAATTTTCATCTAACAAGCTTCCCAATCTTCTAAAAATAAGGTTCTTGGAAAGATCTCTTCAAGTCAAAACTCAAACATCCTTTATACTTCCTGCTTATTACATATTGTTTAAAATTTTCAGCAAAGAATAACTGCTATGATCCTAAGAGTATCTCTTCAAATATATATGATACACGTTTATGATTAATTTAATATAAAAGCTCACCTTCCTAATGGGTAAATCCCTGATGAAGTCCATCACAGCTTGCCTGGTAGGGAGAATTTGGTACTGTCCATTTGGTTTTCTCTTATCACTGCATATTTTTGCTAGCATTGTATTTGGGGCAATTCCTTAAAAGAAGAACACTCTGATGATGCAAAGAAGTTGATATATATAATTTCTTAAGTATGTGATATTATAAGGGGAAAGTAATGTTAAGTGCAAAAAAAATGAAATGGCAAAGAATGAATGCTAATATAAAAATAAATTTAACTATCATAGCTACAAGACTTGTTATAGTTTTAAGAAAAGAAAATGTATTAGTCATTGTGGCTACAGAAATAAGAAATATGGGGCTGGAGCAATAGTACAGCGGGTAGGGCATTTGCCTTGCATGCGGCCGACCGGGTTTGATTTCCAGCATCTCATATGGTGCCCTGAGCACCGTCAGGAGTAATTCCTGAGTGTAAAAGCCAGGAGTAACCCTTGTGCATCACCGGATATTACCCAAAAGGGGAAAAAAAAAATATTTGAATCTCCATGGTATTTTAAACTTTGAGTAAATTGAGTTTAAGTGATATTATTATTCACTTGCTAATATTTATTAGAGATGTAGAGCTATCTTAATAGAAAATATCTAGAATATAATTAGAATAACTTTTCTTTTTAAAAAGGTCTTGTATAAGTAATTTACAAAAGGATAAAATATCAATGATTCTGAATTGCAATATGTTTAAAATAGGATTATAAAATGAATGAATCCCTTTTATGTTACAATGCAAATTACTACTTAGAAAGATGTTTTTCAATTTCTAAGAGTTGATGAAATAGACATATTTAAATAAATTTGAAATACAATTTGAAATAGGCATATTCAAATGTGATCATTAAATAGTTCATTTCAGTTTTGATACGTGTCTTCCCAAAAGATTTTATTTATTCTCATCCTTTGGTACAGAAGAGACTAACCTCATCACAATGTGACTTTTATAGCAATCTTGGGTGCTCATGATGAATATCAGTTTCTATAATTAAACGCAACAATACCCTCACTGATTACTGACACATGTAAAACTCCTTTCCCTTCCCCAGATGGCTCTAGATTGCTACGCTGCCAGTTGCTGTTTCTCTGTCTCCTGTGATTGTGGTCACCTGGGGTCTGCTCTTGTCTACTGTACTCCTACACAGGGTGGAATTCTTTCAAGGAAAATCTATAAAGTACTGTATCTAAAGCCAACTAAAATATATTTATGCTTTAAAAAAGGACAGCTATATAAGACTTATGACCATATTTTCTTTGGGTTTATAGACTTCTACTTAATACCAATTTATATTAGGTTAATAGCATTTTGAATAGCAAAGTTGTTAAAATTTGTATAAAACAATGAATATGCAAACCGTCACTATTGTATATACTTTAATCTGATAAACTACCCATATTAAACATGTCAGTTAATCAGATAATTATAACCATTATAGTCAGCAGTATCCTTTTGAGTACCTGCGCTGGCAGTCAGAGTTGTTTTTTGCTCAATTCTGAAACGAATTTCCTTGACCACTTCCTCAGCTGATGTTCCAAAAACAACTGAGTTTTGATGTAGCTGAGCATTTTGTTCTTCAGAGTTTCCTTGTAAAGAACTTCCTGGGGGCTGCAAATCAGGAGGACTATCTTCAAAAAGCAGTGGAGAGATGGATCCTTCATGCTCACTCAATTTATGAACATCGTTTCCTGGTTTATCTAAATTATGAACAAGAACAGTAATCCATTTTCATTTTAAGAAGAACATACTTCATAAATTAGGTTTCCCTACATCCATTTAAAGACAAAACAAAACTAATTTTAGTTTTGTTTCTAAGATCCAAGATTAGAAATGTTATTTAAATTAGTAACTTAGGGGGCTGGAGTCATAGTACAGCGGGTAGAGTGTTTGCCTTGCACATAGCTAACCATTTTTTTAAAAAGCTGTTATTTTCATTGATTCATCTCAGGTTGGGGTATGAGGAATCCTCTTAATTTAGAATTTATATATTTTTCTGTTTTTAATCGAGAATGAATTCTTAAGCTTCTTTTTCAAAATTCAATATATAAAAGTAAAACAATAAACAAGCTATTTTTAAATAAATATTAGGTATATCAGAATTTAATAATAAGAATAGTCATTAAACAATAAGCAATTGAGAATAATCATAGTTACAAAATAAGTATAAATTTCAGAAAGGCAAAAACCAAATTCTCTTCATTCATGGAAGATAACTTTCAGATGATAAAACAATCTGAACTTCCCTTCAAATTCAGATGTATTTATATATATATTTATTTATTTATTTATTGACATACCCAACAGCACTCAGTGGTTAATTACTCCTGGCTCTGTACTCAGGAATCACTCCTGGTGGGGACTACATAGGATGCCAGGGATGGAACCCTGGTCAGTCACTTGCAAGGCAAACATCCTACCTGCTGTACTATCACTCCGGCCTCTGGAGATTTAAATTTTGACCTTCTTGTTTGTAAACTATCTTTACTATGGGCATATGTGAAATAAATAGAAACCACCCTGGAAAGCATACATTTTTTAAAATACAAAAAGTATTTTGTTGTTGTTATTCTTAAACTGTTACAGGGGCCATACCTGGCGGTGCTTGACATAATTCTTTTTGTTGTTGTTTTCATTCTTCATTGTTGTGAGGGCCGTACCTGGCTGTGCTTAAGACTCAGGGTGGGGTGGGGTGGGGTGAGGGTCTACTCACAAGAGAATTGGGAGCAGGGCATGCAGAAGGACATGGAAATTCCAGAACATGCAAAGCATTGATGCTGAGCCACATCTCTGGACCGAAAGAAACATTTTAATGGTCTAATCACGTTAACTAAATTTAAACTAACCAAATTTAGAGCAAAGAGGACTTTGAAAGTATGAACCCAAAGGGGCACAGTTACTTGACATTGTTGGTTAGACAAAATTCTAACTCTGCTAACACTCTTGAATGGTTTTGAGGAAATAGTAAATATGCTACCTGTTTTACAGGAAAGAATAAGCAGAAACATACTCAGACACTTGTTTCTGCTTTCCTTTGCCTTCAAAACAGCCAAACTTATAAGAATTTTAGGAGGAAATGTACAGAAAACAGATCACCATTCAGTTTATCCTGAGACCTTCTGCTTTTCAAGGCTCCCTAACTTCTTTACGTCTGCCCCCAAAAGTAATCTCTGGTTTTTCAGTAGACACAAGATCAAAGTTTCAAACTCTGCTTTCTACTTGTATAAATATTCACTGAAACATTGTTCCTGCCCTCTTGCCTTCTAGGCTATGATAAAGCCTTTTCCTTCTTGCAAAAGTCAGTGTGATGGTGGCTCTCTGATACATGGTTCCATGGGTGATCTTTCAAATTCATCTTTCTAACTATCAATAGACTGTAAACTAACATTATTAAAAACCAAATAGGGGGTGGGAGAGGTAGTACAGTCACTGGGGAGCTTTCCTTGCACACAGAAGACTTGGGTTCAACCCCAGGTACCACATATGGTACCCAAGCCCCACCAGGAGAGATTCCTAAGCACAGAGTGTACAGTAAGACAGATTGCCCAGGTATGGCCCAAGTCCCCCACCCCTAAAAGTAAAGTAGAACTATAAATTTGATTACTATTTTATTTAATTTGTACTTTTAAAATATATTTGAATTTATACTGATTGTATGTGTCCTCTCAAGAGTAGAGATGTAGGGCGGTGAGAGAACACAAGTGTGAACACAATGTTCAATCTCCCAAACAAACCCTCTTGAGCAAATCTATTAAAGACTTTACTTTCTGTGCTTAATGTTGTAAAAATGCAGATTAAATGTACTTATAATAACTAAGATTAGTAACCAGCTTTCTGATACCATTTCATAACTTTATTACATATAGTGTTCCAAGTCAAGGCAAGTAGAGAAGCAAAAACTAAATTTCTAGTTTTATACATGTATCAATACTTATTCCTTGAAAACTGGCTTTTAGAAAAGATTTTGTAAAGATAACCTTACATCACAAACATCTGATTAGTGTCAAAATTTTAAGAACATAAATATGAATTATGGCACAAATATTTTCCCAAATTGCAGACCACACAAAAAATAAACCTCACTTTCAAACGTGTAATGACTATTACTCATGTGCTTCAGTTCTGGTTTTTAAAATGCAGAGAAATTCCAAAATGACCAAGACTCAGCCATGTTGAAATGATCTCTTTACCTGGCACCTCCTTTTCCCCCATCTGGATGTGCAGGAAAGGGTCAAGGGAATTAAGAAAAACTGCAGATCAAGGAAGGTACTTAGTCAGTGAATCCATGAGCTCCTCCTGCAGCATGCCTTATGGCATGCTTGTACCTCCTGCCTCTATCACTCTGCTTTCAGATCCCTCAAAGAGACACACGCTGTAATAGGAGGCAAAGCATGCTTTGTTCGGTTCCCCTTTGGATCTGCCACTTAGCAGTGCAATAACATGCTGCAGTGGTTTTGCATGCTTTCTGAAAGAAGTATCTTTATTTTTCTGTTTTGGGGTTATATCTCGCAGTGCTCAAGGGCTACTCCCAGCAGACTGCTCAGAGGTCTGCTGCTCAGAGGTCTGAGCTCCTGACCGTGCTCAGAGGACCAGGTGGTGCCAGGATTCAAACCTGGGGCTTCTGCATGCCAAGTATGCGTGGCAGTCCTTGGAATTAGAACACTCTGGCACGAAGACATAGATTTTTAATCCTCAAACCCATGTAATTAAAGTACAAAACTAAGGCTTCTTATAATACAAGATGCTAGAATCAATGAATCCATTGGGTGGCAATGTGCAGTATTTCAGTTTCTTATGCTGTCTGGCACTAACAGTCATACAGGTTTCTTTGGCAGAATAAATAAAATCTGGAAATAGTCTGAATACTTAGCAATATTTTCCAGTGTATAACCTTTACAAAAACAGGGCAGACAGCAGAAAAATGTCTAGGACTTGAGTAAAGATATCAATCCCCTGCCATGGCTCCAATACACAGCTCACAACTTCCCTTCACCTAAGGAAATCAAATGCGCCTGAAAGTCCAGCCCAAAGGGTCTTGGATATGAAGACAAAAGTTAAGCTATTTAAATTGCTTAAGAATATGGAATATGGGGATGGGGGTGGGAGGGATACTGGGATTCATGGTGGTGGAAAATGGGCACTGGTGGAGAGATGGGTATTTGATCACTGTATAATTGAAACCCAAGCACAAAAATTTGTAAGTCTACAACTGTACCTTATGGTGTTTCACTAATAAAAATCAATTAAAAAACCTTAAAAAAAAGAATATGGAATATGGGGCCAGAGCAATAGCATAGTGGGTAGTCGTTTGCCTTGCATACGGCTGACCCGGTTCAATTCCCAGCATCCCATATGGTCCCCCGAGCACCACCAGGAGTAACTCCTGAGTGCAGAGCCAGGAGTAACCCTTAAGCATTGCCGGGTGTGACCCCCCACCCCAAAGAAAAAGAATATGGAATACATGAGGAGCTAGAGAGACAGTAGAGTAGGTAGGGTGTTTGCCTTGCATATGGCCAACCTGGATCCGATCGCTGGCACCACATATGGTCCTTCAGTCCTGCCAGGAGTGATCCCTGAGCACAGAGCCAGGAGTAAGTCCTGAGCACTGCTGGGTGTGCCACCTCCCCAAAAAAGAATACATGAAAATACAAGTATTTATTTATTTTAGCCATGTCCACTTGCCGACATACCAAATTCCACAGGATGGATATGTCGTTCCCAACGTTCTCCCTTCCGAAATCCGACACGCCATTTCGTCGGTAAAGAAACAAACAGCACCAGGCCCAGACAAGGTCAGACCTGAACACCTGAAGAACCTGCCGTTAGTCCTCATCAATACACTGGCTCGGCTCTTCACTCGCTACCTGTCTGAATGCAAGGTTCTGTCCCAGTGGAAAACCAGTAGGACCGTACTACTGTTCAAGAAGGGAGACATCCATGACATTGGCAACTATCGCCCGATCTGCCTATTGTCTGTCATCTACAAGTTGTTCACTCGAGTCATCCTAAATAGGATTGGCAGAACACTAGATGAAGGACAACCATGCGAGCAAGCCAGGTTCCGCAAAGGATTCAGCACCATCGACCATATCCACATGATAACCAAGCTCATTGAGGTTTCTCGGGAGTTCAAGATGCCGCTCTGTCTAACATTCATTGATTTACAGAAGGCCTTTGATTCTGTTGAGACGGAAGCGGTCATTGAAGCCCTAGCCAATCAGGGCATTCAAGCCCAATACATCAGGATCCTCCGTGAGCTCTATTGCGGATTCACTACCAGGATCTCACCATTCTACAAAGAAGTGATCGTTGATGTCAAGAGAGGGGTGCGGCAGGGTGATACCATTTCACCGAAACTCTTCAGTGCCACCCTCGAGAACATCATGCGACGACTGGAATGGGAAGGAATGGGAGTGAAGATAGATGGTCGGCAACTACACCACCTCCGCTTTGCTGATGACATTGTTTTAATAACACCAAACATCAGCCAAGCGGCACAAATGCTGGCCGACTTTGACCGTGAGTGTGGAAAGGTAGGACTACAGCTGAATCTTACGAAGACAATGTTTATGAGAAACAGCCTTGTTCCTGATGCCCCATTCGCTCTCAATGGAACGACCATCTCCGAATGCAACAGCTATGTGTACCTAGGTCGAGAGGTCAACATGACAAATGACCTGGCACCCGAGCTGCGCAGGAGGAAGAGAGCAGCTTGGAACGCCTTCAAGAACGTCGAAGAAATAGCTAAGAGGACGAAGAATCTCCGGCTCCGGGCACATCTCTTTGATTCCACTGTTCTTCCTGCATTAACATATGCCTCAGAGACCTGGGCCCTACACAAACAAGATGAGAACGCTATTCAGGTCTCCCAAAGAAGAATAGAAAGAGCTATGCTTGGAATATCACGTTTCACTCAAATGAGAGAATGAATCCAGAGTTCTGACATCCGTCGACAATCAAGAATCAGGGACGCTGTCTCATTTGCCAAGTGTCAAAAATCAGATGGGCTGGTCACATAATGAAATTTAAAGACGACCGTTGGACTAGAGCTGTTACTGATTGGATTCCACGGGATGTCAAAAGACCGCGTGGCCGCCCACCTACCAGATGGTCAGACTTCTTCGTCAAGATCATGAACAATCGGTTTGAGGCCCTTCATGTTCCCGGAGCGAACAGATGCCATTGGGCTACACTAGCACGCCACAGGGACAAATGGAGAAGTTACTGGCGCCCGCTCAAGCAAATCGACGAATAACGGGAAGTTAAGTGATTATTTATTTTAATGTTTTAGTTTGGGGGTCACACCCATCTGTGTGTGTGGAGAGGGGAAGGGTTTAGTCAGGGCTTACTCCTTGGCTCACTTGGGGGACCATATAGGATGCCAGGGATCAAACCTGAGTTAGCCAGTACCCTACTCACTGTACTATTGCTTTGGCCCCCCTGTAAGTATATGTAAAGCAATAGATATTAAAAATTTACATCCTCATAATGATTTTGGACTAATATAAATGAAAATAACATTAGTAATTAATAAAAAACATTTATTTACTTTAGTGCCAGTATAATATTTAGAAATATATTGCGAAGTACAGGGCATATTGTAAGCTCAAACAGCATACAATGTTTATAGTTGCATTGTATGTGGGCAGCCTGAATTTGATCCCAGGCACCACGAGATTCCTTGAGCAACAAAGAAAGAGATCTTTGAGCACTGTGTCAGGAGTAACACCTGAGAAACTGATGAATGTGGCCCATAAAGCATACTATTTTTTTCTTTGCTTTTTTGGTCACACCCAGCAATGCACAGGGGTCACTCCTGGCTCTGCACTCAGGAATTACTCCTGGAGGTGCTCAGGGGTCCACATGCGATGCTGGGAATCGAACCTGGGTCGGCAGCGTGCAAGGCAAATGCCCTATCTGCTGTGCTATCACTCCAGCCCCATAAAGCATACTATTAAATTAATATTTTTGAGAGCATCTCAGGGCTTACAGAGACAGCCACTTAATGGTTCCTCCCACCTCGATGAAAAATAAGGAGTTAATAAGGTGAGATTTCTAAGCAACATTAGGTTTTGCATGTCACTGCCACAAAGAATAATTATAGCAAGGAAGAAAAAATTTTAACTTCAAGCTTCCATGCACAGAAATTATACTTGTTTAAAGTTTCTAGTAAAGAAAGAGAGAAGCCAGTTTCTCAGAGCTTAAAATAATGTAATCAAGCTATGACTTGATGTTCATATTAAATCAATTCTAAAGATGTGAGCAACAAACAATATAGAAATTGAATTTTTTGTTTATATGTGGGATAGACCCAGTTGTGCTCAGGGCTTACTCCTAGATCTGCGCTCAAGGACACATCTAGTGTTCTGGGGATCATTATGTGGTGCTGGAGATTAAACTGAGATGATGTGTGCAAAGCAAATGCTTAAACACTGTACTGTCTCTCTGGCCCAGGAATTAGAATTTTATGTCACTGAGGAATGACCATTTCTGCTTTAAGGGAAAGTTACAAACACATTTCTCCACTACTTCTTGTCTCCGCTTGAAGGAATATATTCCCATTACTAAGTTATATGCATGGAAAACAGCTGTGGGTTATGAGAAAACCCTCTGCTTCCACCTTTACATCCCAGCGAATTTTGTTCAGGAGTCTAGGACAACTCAGACATTTGAAAACAATCAAATTATTTAATAGGTAACTGCTTTCAATTAAAGCAAAATGTGTAAAAAAAAACAATTTTTTTCTTTCAAAAGTGGTATGTGCATTAACCTGCATGTTACTTGGCTGAGTTTTGGACAGGCAATTAAGGGATCAATTGAAAAAATACTTGCGGCTGTGACATTTCGGGGTGGCTGTACATAAAAAGAATCAAAATAGGGGCCTGAGCAATAGTACAGTGGGTAGGGCATTTGCCTTGTAGAAGGCCTACCCTAATTTGATTCCCCCCCTTCTTTCTCCACCCCCTCCTCCTCCTCCCCATCCCATATGGTCCCCTGAGTATTGCAAGGGTAATTCCTGAGTGTAGAGTCAGGAGTAATCCAAGTTTCACCAGATGTGGTCCAAATGCCCCCCACCCCACCCCCAAAAAAATTAAAAAGAAAAGAGAAATCAAAATAGGTCCAGAGAGAGTGTCAGAATATCACACTTCTGTTTCAGAGCAGCAGGCTCTGGTTCCATTCCCAGTAGGCTGCCTGGTCTCCTGAGCACCACCAGAGATCACTTCTGAAAATTAGACCAAGAATAGCCCCCATCCTGACCAATTCCTCCAGCCATCTTTTTCTTAGAGATCCCTTCTCTATTCCAGCTGCCTTCTCCCCTTTGCTCATGAGACAGGCTTCCAGCTATGGAGCAATCTTCCTGTCCCGTGTATCTACTATTCTTAGGTGTCAGCTTCATGTTATGTTGTTCTGTACTCCACAAATGAGTGCAGTCCTTCTATGTCTGTCCCTCTCTTTCTGACTCATTTCACTTAGCATGATACTCTCCATGTCTATCCATTTACAAGCAAAGTTCATGACTTCATCTCTCCTGACAGCTGCATAGTATTCCATTGTGTAGATGTACCAAAGTTTCTTTAACCAGTCATCTGTTCTAGGGCACTTGGGTTGTTTCCAGATTTTGGCCATTGTTAACAGTGCTGCAATGAACATATAGGTACTGATGCCATTTCTACTGTGCTTTTTTGCATCCTCAGGTTATAATCCCAGAAGTGTGTGCAGAAAGTAGATAAAGGACCAAACATGATAACCTCTCAGTGTCTGTATTGCAAACCATAATGCCCAAAAGTAGAGATTATTGGGAATCATGTCTGTCATGGAAGCAGGGGGAGGGTGGGAAGTGGGGGGGATACTGGGGATATTGATGGTGGGGAATGTGCACTGGTGGAGGGATGGGTGGTTGATCATTCTGTGATTGAAACTCAAACATGACGGCTTGTAACTATCTCACAGTGATTCAATAAACTTAAAAAAAAAAAACAAAGAACAGTTCCCCTACCCCTACCTCAGCACTGATGGGTATGGCCTAATTTCCACCTACTCCACTCCAAAGAATCAAAATAAAGTCTAAGCAAAGAAGGAAGCTGGGGAGTCATTCACTTTGGCAAAGTTGGAAAAAGTCTCCACATAACCAGACAAAACTTGAGAAGAAATAAAACCCAACAAATATTTTGATATATATTAAAAAAAGAATCCAGCTAAGGTTTTAGCTGAAGGATAGCACATTTGCTTTGTAGGCATGAGGCCCTTGGTCAATCTCTACCACCAACAAAAAAATAAATATTAAATAAACAAATCTCCAGGAACAATTACGACAAAAGATTACCTAAAACAGAACTTCTTCCCTCAAAGTGCATTCTCTGGAGAAGGGCCCTGGGCTTAATACCTGAAACTACATGGTTCCCAAAGCACATACAGGGAAAAATCTCCCACATCTACCGAGTATAACCCGCGGTGACATTCAAATCCCAAAACAAAAACACAACAAATAGTAGACATTTTCCTCAGATTCAACACAATACAACCTAGTTAGTCAGATTTTAGGAAAAGAGCAATTACAAGTTTACTTTGTACAGGGATACTTCATACTCAAAAATTGGGAATTTAATCACCTTATTCAGTTTTAAAGTGACATTCCACACACTAAACTAAAAGACCCACTTGTGTATTTTAGTTTCTTATATTTGGTTTTCAATAATTTTTAATAATAAAAGTATATCTAAACTTAGCCACCTTTATATGTTAATAAAATAACTGAGTTAACTTTGTTTTCTGTTTTTTCTCTTTGGGGGGGGCACGCCCCATAGTACTCAGGGATCATTTCTGGCAGTGCTAAGGCGATACCTGAAATGAGGTGCTGGGGGCAGAACCTGGGTTGTCCACATGCAAAACAAGCACTCTACCTGCTGTGCTAGTTCTCTGACTCCACAAGTGGTTAACTTTTAAAGATCTATTTAGGGGTGCAGGAGGCTAGAAAGCCTCAGTGGATGGAAGCACTGGTCAACTCTAACTACTGCCAGACACAATCCTGAGTTCAGAGACTGGGGTACCCCCTGGCAAGTGTGCTTCCCCAAATGAACAGTAACAACAATAATGAAAAAAAAGTTCTGTTTGCCTACTTTTTTAGTCTGATCATTCTAATAAATTCCTTACCATTTTCTAGAGAGTTCGCTGTCTTGATGAAACATTTCCTTTTGTCCTCTGGCCAATTTTGTCTTTCCTGTAAGTGTTTTGTTATATTCAAATATGCTTCATCAAGACTCATAGCCATAAAATTGGGATCATAATCAGCGAGTATTTCTTTAACCTTCAAAAGAAACAAAATGGCTTAAATTTTGCTTTCACAGCAAAACCTGTCATACATAGCTGAAAAGAAACTTTAATATTCTACTTTGCAACTATAGTAACAATCCTGCAATCAATAGCTCAAGTATTTAGGGAATAAATAATTTACTGTCAAGGCAAGTCTGCCCAAGTTCTCATTTATCTTAAAATAGATCATGAAAGCAGGAAATTATGAGATAACTTAATTTCATATGATTTCTATCTAGTACATCTGTTAGATATAGTAAATGGTTACAATAAATCTCAGACATCATAATTTGGAAAGACAAGAGAAAAAAATGGTTACGCTAACTGTTCTCTATGATAGATTCTGTTTCTAAAAAAAAGAATAATCTTACATAAAGAAATTTGTAAAGGTTACTTAGAAAAGAACCTCTTTCAATTAATTGCAAATGCACATAAAAGTATCACAATTAACTCCATACATTAATGCATGTGGTTATTCAGGAAAACATACCTCAATTATTGGGCTTTAAAATGCAAAATATGATAAAATCTGTTGTGAAAGTTTGTGAGGATATTAAACCATGGAGAAAAGTATGGAATAATATTTCTGAGTAAAAAAATAGATATATAATTGCAAAAATGACTTTTTATATAAAATAGGAGAAAAACAGATTTTTTAAATTTTTTAAAAAAATTTATTATTTTTTTTTTTGCTTTTTGGGTCACGCCCAGCGTTGCTCAGGGGCCACTCCTGGCTCATGCACTCAGGAATTACTCCTGGCGGTGCTTGGGGGACCATATGGGATGCTGGGAATCGAACCCAAGTCGGCCATGTTGGCTGCGTGCAAGGCAAATGCCCTACCCGCTGTGCTATTGCTCCAGCCCCAAAAAACAGATTTTTTTTTAAACCACAGGTTTATTAGCCAAAATCAGAGAAAACAATAAATGAGTGTTAGAAGATCCACATTTGTCAAATCTTGTTTGTTTCTTATATTTAAAATCTGTCTAGTAGGGGTCAGAGAAACAGTATAGTGGGTAAAGTGCTTACCTAGCATATAGCTGACCCAAGTTTGATCCCCTGAACCCCATGTGATATCCTCTGTTTACCAGGATGGCGTTTTGAGCCAGGAGAGAGACAGAGAGAGGGGGTGGTGGGAAAAGAGAGAACACCTATTGTATCATGAAAAAACCTAATTTGATGTTTTTGTAAAAGGAAAGTTTTTTGGCTTAATGTGAATAGCAGTGTCAAAGGTAGTTTTAGAAAATGTCCATAGAAAATCTGGTCAAGCTTCACTCTAAGGGCACCTTAATTAGCTTTGTTCCTGATGTACTCAGATGGAATCTTTCTAGTGAGAATGAAACTCTCGAAAGTGTGGTTGGCATCCAACTAAGTTTATGCTGAAGAAGGACTCTGTAGGGACACTGAGTACTCACTTCTTTTACACAGCACACTGCTTTAAAAATGAAAAGACTCCTGTTATGGGCTGGAAAGATAGTGCAAGAGGTAGGACACTTTTTTTGTATGCAGCAGAGTCAGTTCAATTCCACATCGTTCCCCAGCCTCCGGGAGTCGGGACAGATGAGATCCCTGAGCACAGAGCCAGAGGTAAACCCTGAGCACTCACTGCTGGTTGCTGATTGTGTGCTGTCCCTCCCCTGCCCTCAAAAACAAACAAACACTTGGGCTTCGATGTAGTTAAACTTCTTCCATTCTTTTGGATAAAACAAAAGTGATTTTTCCCTTAAATTTTAAACAAAGTCATAAATATTCATATGTTTATAGTTAGTGAATTTGTCTATATGCAGTTCCTTCACAGATGAGAAAACATTTTCCATGTGCAAATAAACTAGTTAGGGTTTGCTTAAATCTGAAGAATGATTTCTCTAAGTGATCTAATAACTAGATTAAAGAAAACTAAAAACAACCCAGTTTTTCATGTCATATGAGCAGAAGTTTAACTGAGATAAAGTAGGATTTAAAGACTTCTCCCGGGGGGTATGGTGCCGTCAGCAGGTCAATCTGTACCTGTCAGGCAAGTGCATCAGCAGTCTGATGGCATCATCAGACTTCCAGATACCCCAAAATTGCTGCTATGCCTTTGGGCAGACCCCAAACACTTGGGACAAAGTTTACCAAGAAAGTAAGTGGTCAAAAGTTAAGTATGTGGGAGACACATCCACATACCACCTCCAGTTCAGCTATAAAATTGGAGGCATGGCCTCTGTGGTTCCTGATTGGATTGCTTAATGGCCATGATCCCAGAGACTCAGAAACAAATCTTGAAATGCAATGGCTTTTGGCAGAAATGCGTCCGGTCCCGGCAGTAGGTTACTGGCGCCAGGCAACCCCAGGTGGGAACAGGTTTCATGCCTTGGCCTGTTTCCCCTCATGGCCCAGTGGCTGTCATCCTACAAGAGGCCACTGGACAGTCACGTTTGGGCCCACTGTGATGAGACACATGGGGACTCATGGAATGGGGGTGGAGCCAGCCATTTCCTCCCCGTCCCAACAAGACCCCCAGTTGCTGCCCACGAATGGCCTCTCGGGCTCCTGATCAAGCTGCTTAATGGCCATGATCCCACAGACTCAGACACAAATCTCAAAACCCAATGGCTTTTGGCAGAAATGCATCTTGACCCTGCAGTAGGTTACTGTCGCCGGGCCACCACAGTGGGGAAAGGATGCTGTCCTCTGCCTGCTCCTCCTTGGTGACTCGGTGGCTGCCATCCACCAGAGGCCATTGGACAGTCAGGTTTGGGCCCGCAGTGACAAGACACATGGGGCCTCATGGAATGGGGGTGGAGCCGGCCCTTTCCTCCCCGCTCCAATGAGATCCCGAGTCGCTGCCCATGAATGGCCTCTGTGGCTCCTGATCAAGCTGCTTAATGGCCAGGATCCCAGAGACTCAGGAACAAATCTCGGATCCCCGCAGGTTTTGGCAGAAATCCCTCCAGACGTAATCGTTAAAATTTCAGAATTTCAATATTGCGCAGCCACTACTACAGCCACGTGACATCATATGTTATTCATAACCAGCAATAGAAAACAAATTGTCAAAAAAAAAAAAGACTTCTCTCTGAGTTCGAGACACAGTACAGAGGTGAAGGCCTTGCCTTGCAAGCATCCAATCCTGATTTGATCCCTGTCACCACATATTGTTCCCTGAGCACTGTCAGAGGTGATCCCCAGAGCACAGATTTAAGAGTAAGCCATAAGAACTATGATTGCATATGGCCCAAACCCCTCCCATCCATTTTTTAAAACAAAGTCTTTGCAATTTACATATAAAAAAGAGGATAATATATTACCTATTAAGAAAACAGTGAAAATTAATTTAGATTATAATTAAGGCAATTTAAAGTTTTAAAGAGATAAGAATTTACTAAGTAGATAAAAGAATATGTAGGGGAAAATGATATAGGGTCTTGGGGCTCTGGATTCCATATACAGCTCAGCATTAAAAAATATCTATTATAAAGAGTGATGGAGCAATAGCACAGCGGGTAGGGCGTTCGCCTTACAAGCGGCCAACAGGGCCGACCCGAGTTCGATTCCTCCGCCCCTCTCGGAGAGCCCGGCAAGCTACCGAGAGTATTCGATATGCCAGACACAGTAACAACAAAGTCTCCAATGGAGACGTTACTGGGCCCGCTCGAGCAAATCGACGATCAACGGGAGGGCCTTTACCTTTTTACCCTAAAGAGTGACAGGATGCAAGACTAAAAGCATAAGCTAAAGCTAGGATCTGATGTACATTAAAACTGACTCTAAATGACAGAAAATCAGTGAAAGGCTCTAAGTAGAGGTGAGACATAAGACTTACCTCTCTACTCACAGCTTGGTATTTGTCAAAGTTTGGGGGTACTATAATAAGCTGTGGGCAGAGTCTTCTAGCAATAAATCCTGGCATAGCAGCACGAACACCAAATCTTCTTGCATGGTAATTTGATGTAGACTGAAAGAAAATGGACCACATGGGAAAAAAATAGATAAAACTAAATGGACACATTGATCAGATGCATGCGTAAGAAACACATTATATTTTCATTTTCATTCCAAGGCCATTTCTATTATAGGACCTTTCTAAAATAAAGGTTTGCTGTAACAACATGTTAGTAATCTCTTATACAATGGCTTAATGGCTCCAGGATGAGATCCAATAATCTTCACACACTTTCTTCTAAGGAAACCTTTCTTGATCATTTTTAGCAAATTATTCATAATAAGCAATACAAAATAAATTATTTAGGGCCCACTATTGGTTGGGAAAATTGGAAATAATGGTGGTGGGAAGGTGTAATGGTGGTGGGATTTTTGTTGAAATATTGAATGTAATAAATTTTTGTGAACAACTTTGTAAAAATAAAATTAAAAAATAAAATAAAGGTTTGTAAAAATAGTGATAAAAAAATACTATCAAGGTTTGTTTTTTCAGAGCTTATTCTACTGATATCATACCTCAAGCAGCAAAAGCATTGCACTGTAGCACTGTCCTCCCGTTGTTCATGAGACTTTTGTGAGAACAAACAAATTGTGAGACTTTTGTTACTGTAGCGATAGCATAGCAGGTAGGGTGTTTGCCTTACACATGGCCAACCTGGGTTCTATTCCTCTGCCCCTCTCGAAGAGTCCGGCAAGCTACTGAGAGTATCTCACCCACACGAGATACTGGCAAGCCTGGCAAGCTACCCATGACATATTTGATATGCCAAAAACAGTAACAAAAAGCACCAAAAAAAGGTAATAGAAAAGTATAATGTTACTACCATTTCCAAGGTTTATAATATTGGGGAAATTATTAGATACCAGATTCTGTTTCAATCTGTCAAACAGATATAAGATTTGTACTTCAAAGGATGGTAAAAGAATTTAGTAGCTAAACACATATAAGACACCCAGAAAATTTTATTCAACAAAATTGGTGGAATATAAAATAGGCTTTTGCCTTTATACATCAGTAAGACTTTCCTGAACATGTTAAAAACTTCCCTTTTTAACATAAAGCAACAAAATGGGAGACTAACACCCAGGAGTGGCTGAGATTAGTACCAGGAATTTTGCTCCATGACTTGGAGGCCAGCCACACGTGCTGGGGAAAAGGAAGCTCAGATAGAGAAGAGAGCACCAAATAAAGAGTGTTGGGAGGATCCTCCCAGGATGGGAGAAGCATGCTGAAAGTAGACCATAGACCAAACATGACTGCCACTCAATGCCTCTCTTGCAAACCACAGGACCCAAAAGGAGAGAGAGAGAATAAGGGGGAATGCCCTGCCACAGAGGCAGGGTGGGAAGGGGGCAATGGGGGATGGGAGGGATGCTGGGACCCGTGGTGGTGGAAGATGGGCGCTGGTGGAGGGATGGGTACTTGATCATTGTGTGACTGAAACCCAAGCACAAAAATCTGTAAGTATATAACTGTACCTCATGGTGTTTCACTAATAAAATAAAACAAAAACAAAAAACTTTTCCCTTTTTGTCTTTACGCTCTTCTGAAGAGGGCGGGGGGGGGGGGGGGGTTGATCACACTCAGGGACTCGGGGATTACTCCTGCTTCTGCACTCAGGAATTACTCCTGGCAGTGCTCGGTGGACCATATGGGAAGCTGAGGATTGAACTCAGGTCAGCCGGTTGCAAGGCAAGTATGTGTAAGTACAGCCTTACCCGCTGTACTGTTGCTCTGGCCCCTTGTCTTTACCCATTCCCTACTTACCAACATACTCATCGATCCCACAGCAATAGGTTTGTCCTTCAGTTCTGGGTTGTCCCTCATTTCTACAGCTGCGTAGAAAGCATCCATATCAATGTGCACGATGGTATTGCTCAGATCCCGGTTCTGTTCTAATTCCATCGCAAATCTGTCAACCTTAATTTCACAAAGTTTCCATAGTTTTAAGACAAATAATATTAAAATACTATGAATCATAAACATTAACCTTACTTTTAAAGCTAGGGACTAGAGAGATAGTTCAGTGGGTAAGGCACTTGCCTTGTACGCGACTGACCTGGGTTCGACCCCAGGCACCCCAGGTGGTCCTGAATCCTGCCAGGAGTGATCCCTGAGCACAGTGCCAGAAGTAAGTTCTGAGTGCTGCCAGGTGTAGCACAAAAACAAAACTAAAGAAAAACAAAAATAAAAAAATATAGCTATCTGTCCCTCTCTATCCAGTAATCCACTCACCCACCTACCCATATATTTATCCATATTTCACTGTTGTTTACTAAGGCTGCTGATTACTTTCATTTTTTTTATAAGCATAGACATTGTGTTCTCCAATATCATCCTCTTTAACTCTTTTATCTCTTAACTACTCCAAGCACATAATATGTGATATAAATATTTACTGAATGAAGTTTTCCAACTGCTTTTTAAGAATAACTTACTATAATGAAAAATTTCAGTTTAGGTAAAATAAATAACTATATTCAATAAAATAAACTCCATCTGACTTACAATGTTAATGCCTGAAAACAGCAACAAAGGTATGAAATATGATTATACTCTTTAACATATGATGTTTATGCTGATTAGCATTATAAAATTTAAAAACTTGCCAGCACATAATATAAACATTCCCTCTGTAGATCTGCTCTTACAAGGCTAAAATTTTCTAAGGCTAAAACTATTAGCCTACATAAGTCAACATAGAAACTTTAAGTCATAAATTATTTCAAGAAGTATCATTGCATGTCAAACAGCAAAAAAATTAATCTTTACATATTATTGTGATATGTGTATATGAAGGGGTAGCATACTTAATAATATTCAGGGGTCAGCGGTTCTGGATGTCAGGGGACAAACCAGATGCTGGGGGCTTAACTCCAGGCATCACCTACGTCAGGTATCTCTTACGTTTTGAGCCACAGAACTGATTCAGAATCTTAGTCTTTAGGGGCTGGCTTGATAGTACAGTGGGTAGGGTGTTTGCCTTGCATGCAGCTGACCTGGATTAAACACTCCTGCTCCCACCCCCCGCCCAATATTCCATATGGTTCACCGAGCACTGACACAAGTGATTCCTGAGTGTGTAGAGACAGAAGTCTTAAAGAATCTTAGTCTTTAATGATTTTTTGTTTCTTTAGACAGAAAGTGTTGGTATGATAAGAAAGATAAATAACAGGAGGTAGAAATAATTAGAGTATGGCTATGAGAAAAGAGTTTATATAGCAGTCATATTCAATCCCAAGTATTCCCTCTACTACAGAGGTTGAAAAGACTAAATAAGCACTTTTTTCTCCTTCCCTGAAGCCAGGGGTGGCTATCTGACTATTTTGCTCTTTGTAACATTAGGAAATCAGTAAGAACTTTGAAGTAAGATCATGAAAAAAGAGAGAAGTAAGATACTGAATAGGATGGAATAAACAGCGTAGAAGAACAGTTGGCACATGGTACAGATTCAACAAATACAATGTACTGCTGAATGGATCAGTGGATAGCTGCATAACAAAATAATCAAAACCTTAGGAAGAAACAAGAAAGAAGTAAGTGGAGGCGGACTGGAACAAAAACAATTTCCATCACATGGAGATCCTGATAGCAGGTCTCTCAGAGGAGAGTTACAGGGGTATAATTCAGCATTTTCCCCCTCACTGCACCTTAACCTTGCTTTCATTCTGTATAATGATCTTTGCGCCCCCACTTCTTCGCGTTATAGAGGTGCTAGCTGCTCACTACCCGCACATTAAAACTAACTCCTCCTTTAGGAACAAATACCTTGGGCGAGAAAGATAATACCATGGGCTGAGTGCATACAAAATATTTTCTGCATGCAGGAAGCCCAGGTTGAATCTCCAGCACAGTATCGTCCCTACTGTTGGGAACAACCACTGAACACAAAGCCCAAAGTAGTAGCCAAGCACTGCTAGGTGGAACCCAAAAAACAAAGCACAAAACATACAAAACAACAATCACCTCGAGTCATATTTTGTCTCCAGTAGTCACAGAGCCTCTGAGGGCCTGCTCCTATTTCAGCAGCAACTCCTGGAAGGAATAGGGTATTCTGTGCCATGTTTCAGGTTGCTCCTCTGTCTCAAGTGTACCCCTCCACCCCGGCTTGGTAACAGAGCCCTCAAAGATCAGCTGAGATAGTCCTCTGCAATTTAATTGGATATCTGTCCCTTGCACGGCAGAATTGAATGCTCCCTTATCTGTTTTCCTGCTTTGACTATGGTTCTTACTGCATGAGACACTACACTGTGAGTTCAATCAGGAATCAGACAGCTTCTGACTTTTAATTCTTTCCTCCGAAGAGAAAGGGAGAGGACACTCATAGGAAAAAAGGAATAAAATTTATATTACTATATATTTCCTTCTCTGGTTAAAAAAAAGTAGTGGACTAGAGAGTTAACTGGGTTAAAGAGCATATGGGGGTGGGGCAGGATCCAGATACCCCTGTACCACATGGATCCCCAAAGCAGAGCCTCGGGTGGGGCGAGAGGAAGTATTTGTAAAAGAATTTTGGAGAGGGCTCATCTGCAGTGAGATATCACATTTAATAAAAAATAAACAAACAAACAAACTTCAACATTACTTCATGCTATAATCCAGATTTAAAGCAAAACTATTTCTCTACTAGTTTTGAAAGGGAGGATAGCATCTGGCATTCAAAAGAGAGATGCAAACAAACATAAAACAAGGGTATTTGAAAAACTACTCTATATTAATCTAGACAAATGCTTACGATATGAATCGACTGAGAACAAGGGAGCAGCATCTGAAATAGCTCACCCCTGAATCACTGGAAAGGAAAAGATTACAAACAGAAAGCAAACCAAAGGGGAAAAATACTCTAAAAACTCATATATTATGCCGTGACTGTTTCTTTAGCAATCTATTGTCTTTGTGTGCTCAGAGCAAGTGGACAGTTGCCAAAAGGAAACCTCCCCACTGAATGACTCAGACATTCCACTTTCCTTGACTATCTCTCATTAGTCACCGAGTCTGAACTCTTCCTTCTGAGTCAACCAAACACGCACCACCACTGCTTATTTCAAGTTCAACTGAAATCCCCATTCGAGTATTCTTTTCTTCCATTTTCTCATCCCAGAGGCTTTTAAATTCTGACTGAGACTCTTTCGTTATGTTTTTTAATTTTTATTAGTGAGACACCATGAGGTACAGCTGTAACTTACAAATTTTGACTGAGACTCTAAGATGCATATTATCCCTTTCACTTTTGTTTACAGCTGCCCTGTCTTACAGAAATGACATTTGCATTGTGTCCCTGCCCTACCACTTATTTATTAATTAGATGACGGGGGCAAGGCAACCCTTTCTGAACTCACTTGATTAAAGTGGATTAAACCAATCTCAAAAGGTTGAAAGAATTAAAAAAGGGAATGCATGAAATAAGTTCTCAGGCTAGGATCAGGATTTAGTAATACAATTTTAAAAGTGGAAGTGACGAAGTGACATTTACTCTGTACTTTATATGCCATATAATATGCTAAGTGCTTCTTCTATTGATTAATTTATAGCTCAAAACATTCCTGATTGCTTTATAATGGCAATTATTGTTGTTATTTTACACATAGAGTTAAGGCTCAGTAAACATCTAAGCTATAAAGCTGCTAAGTGTTAGAATTAGACCTGGAAACCAGAATACTTTGAATTCTGAGTTCTTTCTATTATATTTCCCTAAAATATTTAAGAAGTTTTTATATTGAGAGTTCGGGGGTGTAGTTCAGAGGTAAAGTACTTGCTTTTTATGTGTGAGGCCGTGGGATAAATTTCAGCAGCGCAAAAACAAACAAACAAGAAAAAAAACCAAATTTTTTTAATGCTAAAATAAGTTCAGTACATTTAATGTCATGTTTTAATATTCTTATTATGTCATAAACTTAAAAAATTGCTATGTTCAGGAGATATTTCAGAAGTATTTCTTTTCCTTTCTTAATAATATCTTACAAAATGTTGAGTAAATCTGAGATAAAAATCAATTGCAAAAATGACCAAAATACACTGGTTTACTGTATAGTTACCACTTAATAAAATAACATGGGTGGTTATCTATTCAATGTCTAAAGCTAGGTTGCAATATATTTTGGCAGCTGAAAAAAATGACTGTGTCCTTAAGAAGCCTAATGAAGATAGGAGGTGGTAGGAAATAGAGAGGTTCTAAACATCTTGAGATTTCACAGTGGTTACTTTGTTCAGCAATCAAAGTAGCTCATATAACTGCATCAAACACAATAAAAACTACTAGTTGGAAATTTTGTGATTTCAAAAACAGAGATATACTTCCCTTAAAATTTTTCAATTCTCCAGGATCTTCTTGACTCCTTACAACTTCCCCAATCTTCTCACATTTATAGAACTTCTTTTAAAAGTAGTCGAACAAATGAAACAACTAGTTTCCACAGCAGTCCACAAAAACTATAACAAACCTTAAGTTCTGCTACATAATGTATGGTATTTTTATGTTCTTTAATATTATTAGCATAAAAGATTGTGAATTTTTAAAATTATACAAGCAACAAAAAGTTTTATCATATCTGTACTAAGATTTTAAGACTTCATTAATGATATTTGTAGATTATAAATTTCCAAAACTTATCAAAATAAAGTCCAGACAGCAAACTGCTCAATGATTAATATCAATCATTGTACAATACAGCTTAAAGTATCAATGTTATTGTGAGGAGATTGGAATTTCTTTAAATTTGAATTTAAAGAAATTGGAATTTCTTGGGCTGGAACAATAGCACAGTGGTAGGGTGTTTGCCTTGTGTGTGGCCGGCTTGGCCGAGCTGGGTTCGATTCCTCCGCCCCTCTTGGAGAGCCTGGCAAGCTACCAAGAGTATCTCGCCTGCACGGTAAAGCCTGGCAAGCTGCCCGTGACGTATTCAATATGTCAAACACAGTAACAACAATTCTCACAATGGAGATGTTTCTGGGCCCGCTCGAGCAAATCGATGAACAATGGGAGGGCAGTGACAGTGACAATATATAAGATCTATAAATCAAGAGAACAACATACAAACTCTGCTAAAGAAATGGATAAATGATACTGTTCTAGACTACTAGTTGAATCCCCAAATCTATTAACCTTTTCTTCCACATTAAGAGATATTTAGCTGAGCACACGGTCATCCAGCAATGTTTAACAGTTTCTTTTTCAGTTAGGTGTGTCCATAAAACCTAAAATTCTAGCCAAAAAATATCATAAATAGAAGTAATGTATTCAACTTCTTTTTCATTCAGTTAACAAATCCCTTTTTTTCTATCTTTTCTAATTTCTGTGTGTGTGTGTGTGTGTGTGTGTGTGTGTGTATGTGTTCGCGCGCACGTATGTGTGTTACTAGGGATGGAACTTAATGTCTCGGGAGCGATAGCACAGCGGTAGGGTGTTTGCCTTGCACGCAGCCAACATGGCCGACCCGAGTTCGATTCCTCCGCCCCTCTCGGAGAGCTTGGCAAGCTACCAAGAGTATCTCGCCCGTACGGCAGAGCCTGGCAAGCTCCTGGCAAGCTCCCCATGACGTATTCGATATGCCAAACACAGTAACAACAAAAGTCTCCAATGGAGATGTTACTGGGCCCGCTCGAGCAAATCAATGATCAACGGAAGGGCCATTACTTTACTTACATCACTTACATACAAGACATGTACTTAATCAGCAAGTTACATCTTCAGTCCTAGTCATTCTTTCTTTCTTATCAGGGATAACTGAGTTATGGATTGAAAGTAAACTGATTTTGTCAAGAATACCAGGGGACAATGGAACAGCATGCTGTAGAACCTGGGTCTCGTAAAATACTAAGTGATCAGAATCATTTAATGAGTTGAACCAGTAATCTCTTATGTGTAAAATAAATTCTTAATTTATTTAAAACACTAGATCTTAAGGACTCAAGCCAACTACTTAGCATATATTTCTAAAAGAAAAACTAAAAAAGAAATTACCCAAAGCAAAACATATTAATAGCTAACCAATGATTGTGACATTCTTTGTCATAAACAAAGGTGGGGAAATTAAACAACTTGGGGTCACACCTGGGAGTGCTCAGGGGCTATTCCTTGTTCTGTGCTTAGGGGTCTTCCTGGAGGTATAAGGGGGAACAAATGGATCATATGTGGTGTTGGGAGATGAACCAGGGACCGCTACATGCAAGGCAAGCACTTTAGCCCCTGTACTATCTCTTTGGCCCAAAAGACAATTACTTTAGACACTGCATTAGCAAAAACTTAAGGACTAGTTAAATTAACAAAATAATTTCAGGGCCAGAGAGATAGCTCATGGGCTAGACAGCATGCTTGCACACAGAAGACCTGGGTTTGACTGCCAGCACCACATGGTTCCCTAAGTACCTATCAGTATGACCCCAAAACAAAAACAAAAAAAGGGTGGGATATGACTCAGTAGTAGAACACAAGACTCAAGTGCATGAAGCCCTAGATTTAATTCCCAAAACAAAAAACTAAAAATCAATTTTAAAAATTAAAGTAAAAATAAATTAAAATTTAAAATTGCATACAATTAACATACAAAATTGAAATCATTATGTATGCTTTACTAGTATAACTGTTATTTGACCATGACATTTGCTCGTGCGGGCCCAGTAACGTCTCCATTGTGAGACTTGTTGTTACTGTGTTTGGCATACTGAATACGACACGGGGAGCTTGCCAGGCTTTGCCGTGCAGGCGAGATACTCTCGGTAGCTTGCCGGGCTCTCCGAGAGGGGCGGAGGAATTGAAGCCGGCTCAGCCGGGCTGGCTGCGCACAAGGCAAACGGCCTACCACTGTGCTATGGCTCCATAAATTCTATTCTTCCAGCTTCCACTTCACACTGGAATGAAAGAATACCTGTAATTGTGCTTTCCTTAGCTGTTGGTTGGTAATTTGAGCTTTTTGTTGCATTAAATTTTCAATTCGTTTGTTGACTTGTTTTTCTTTCTTGAGCTCATTTTCATAATATCTGGACCCCTATGTAGAAAAAAAGAAAAGAATATTAAAAAATTATCTTTAGGAAAGCATCAATGTAGTATATGGTATACCCTCATAGTTGACAGAACAGACTCCAATACATAATAACTAAACTCAAGAATAATCTCCACCACCTTCCAGATGGGTGACCTTATTCTTTTTATGTCTGTGTTTCCTTATATGTAAAATAAATTTTTGACTACCTACATCATAGTAGTATTGTCAGGCAGTATTTACTACAGTACAAACTTTGAGATGAGTACAGATTTGCACTCAGAAAACATTTCCTAAGCAGGAGCAGGAAATGGGGCTAAGCCAAGGCCGGAGTCAATTGGGTCATTGATTTTCTCCTTCACGTTTACTTTGGAAGTGTTATAAAAGTTTTCATTTGAACACTGTATGCATGAAACCTTATAATTATCAGGATTATAAATCATAGTGCTTCAAATAAAATTAAAAAAATTTATCTAAGTCATTTACAATGTAAAAAATAATTTTTAGAAAATTATCTACCATCATTAAGCATAATGTCTCTCGATTTACCAGGCTGATGGATATTAGATAATTTTTACTTTTTTGGTTCTTATTAAAAATGCTGTGAGAGCTGGAGAGATAGTAGCGGGTAGGGTGCTTGCGTTGCATGTGGCTGACTCGGGTTCTATACCTGGTCTGTAGAGGGCTCCCTGAGCCCCACCAGCAGTGATCCTTGAGTTTACAGACAGGAGTAAACCCCACGCACTGTGAGGTATAACCCCAAAACCAGAAAGTTTTTTTAATTAAAAAAAAAAAGAAAAGAAAATGCTGTGATAAAGATTGTGTATATACTTTGTGAAGACGTGTTTTCTAGCTCCTTCACTGTCCAATCAAGGATTGAATCTCTGTATTACATAGTACTCCACATGAAGGCTTTTGAGATACTACCAGAACTTTTCCCCAATGCAGTTGATCCATTTTACTGTCCCAACTCACCAGCAATGCATAAGGGCTTAATTTCTCAACATTCTTGCTATTGTTTGTTGTTCTTTATTATAAATATCCTTGGTTATATGTGCACAGTATTACACTGTGGGATTCTGCACCAGACAGTGTGGCGAGTGAGAGCCCTCCCCATCCCAAGGGACCTAGCCCCGGCAGCTGACCTCCACTACCCAACCACCAGCACTCTCCAGGCCGCTTTTTGGACACATTATAAGACACTTCCTACCCATTTTCCACAACTACTGGCCAGGTACGCGTAACTATTCAATATTCCAAATACAGTAACAAGTCTCACAATGGAGACATTACTGGCCCTGCTCGAGCAAATCAATGAACAGCGGTAGGACAGTACTACAGTGCAGTGCTACTACACCATATCTGATGGGGTTCAGACAGTAGGCAACAAATCATAGAGTAAAATATATAAATATATGCCTCTCGGAGTGCCCGGCAAGCTGCCAAGAGTATCCCGTCCTCACAGGCAGAGCCTGGCAAGCTCCCCATGGCATATTCGATATGCCAAATACAGTAACGACAACAGGTTCCATTCCCCTGACCCTGAAAGAGCCTCCAATCATTGGGAAAAGACGAGTAAGAAGAGGCTGCTAAAATCTCGGGGCTGGGAGGAACAGAGACATTACTGGCACCCGCTCGAGTAATTCAAGAATCGACGGGATGACAGTGATACAGTGATTACACGGTGGGTTTTAATTTATAATTCGTCAATTATTGAATATGTGGAAAATTTTTACATGTGTTTATGAACTTTGTATCTTCTATATTGAACTCTCCATGTTTTTTGTACAATACAGTCCTCTGCTCTACCAGCTGAGCTATCAAAGGGAGCATAAAGTCTCCATATCTTTTGCTCATTCTTTAATTGGGTTAATTGTTTTATTAATGAGATATAAAACTTATTCACCTCTAAAGAGATAGTGAGGGTTGGAGAGATGGTTCAATAGGTTGAGTGCATGCTTTACATGCAGGAAGCCTGGGTTTGATGCTGGTATCACGTGATTCCCTGAGTTGGGCATAGCCTCTGAATACCACTGGATGTGCCCTCCCCCAACAAATTAAATATTTTTTTAAAATTCTGGATTTAAGCCCTTTATCATGTGCATGTTTTGCAAATATTTCACCCTTGCACGCTGCTTATATTTTTGTTTTTTAAGAGGTCTGTTGAAATATAAACATTTTATAATTCAATCAGATCTGATTTATCAACTTTTATTGAATATGTATGTGGTGATATTTGCCAAAGCACAGGTTTCAAAGTTTTTCTCCTATCTTCTAATCGTCTAAAAGTTTTGATGTTTTAGCTCTTACATTTGCCTTTTTAAGTTAATTTTTTGCCTATCATGCAAGGTCAGTCCAATATATTTTTTGTTTTTCTTAACTCTGTCCTAATTAAAAAAAATTATTCACTGTGATTTACAAAACTGTCACTAACAGACTTTCAGGCATTCAGTGTTCTAATTCCAAACTTCAGTGTCAGCATCCTCCAATGACCCAAAGTTCTCTCTATCTCTCTCTCCCCACCCCACCTCCTTGGAAAACTCTTTAAAAAAAATTTGCTATTATATTCTGGACCACATGTTTAGCACTAGTTAGTATTGTAACCAGTTAGTATTGGTTCTCATGGTTTTGAAGTACAGAGTGACCTTGCCTCCACATCACTGAAATGACCAAGACTTTTGACCAATGCCCTTATGTTATCACCAGTCTGCTTCCTCCTTCAGCCAGGCCCCTCCTTCATTGGCATTCTCATTTCTATAATCTAGCTCCCTCATACCCCACCCCTTATATGTGGCTATTCAAATTATCCCTGCATCTGCTAAACAGAATAACCTTTGGTCCTGGTACTTTTGTCAAAAATCAATGAATTATATTTACTTCTAGACTTAGTTCTGTTTTACTCATCTCAATCTTTTATAAAAATTAGACTGGGGTCAGAGAGATAGGATAGCAGGTAAGACACTTGCATTGTACATGGTCATATATATTACATATTATACGGGCTGGAACGATAGCACAGTGGGTAGGGCGTTTGCCTTGCACGCAGTCAATATGGCTGACCTGAGTTCGATTCCTCCACCCCTCTCGGAGAGCCCAGCAAGCTACTGAGAGTATCTCACCCACAAGGCAAAGCCTGGCAAGCTACCCGTGACGTATTCAATATGCCAAACACAGTAACAAGTGTCACAATGGAGGCGTCACAAATCGATGAACAATGGGAGGATGGTGACAGTGACATATTATACATGATACATAATAACCCAGTGCCTAGTATTATATATGACATATAATAATAACCCAGTGCCTAGCAACAGATACTACTCAGCAACTACAAGGATGAAATCAAATGTGCATTTACTTACAGGATAGATCTAGAGGGGGTCATGTTAGGCAAAATAAGATAGGAAAAAGACAAATGTGGGATGATGTCATTCATATATTGCATATAAAGAAACAAAGCAAAGGAATAGACAATGTGTAACTAAAATCAAACCTTAGACTCTGAAAATAGAAGTGAGGCTACCAAATGGTGGTGGGGGAAGAGTGGAAGATTGAGTAGAAGGGACATAGGAGCAGTGGTAAAAGGATACTGGCTCTTTGGTGGGTAGCTGCACAGCAGTAACACTGTATACCTAAAGCAATATTAACAGTTACCTCAAAATAATATATAAAAGTGTTTAAAATTACAATTAAAATTATAATTAAAGATAGTTTAACTCACTAATTTTCTTTTAAGTAAAGATTTTAAAGTGATTTTTTAAAAATATATTGAAAGATAAAACATACCTTTGTGGCTTCCATTATAATTTTATTAATTTTCTCTTTGTCTAATCCTTCCATTCCAGCTTTATTATCATTAAGTCCCATCCTAAGCAGAAGGTCATCTTTATAACTGTTGTTCTCCTTTGTGTTTTCCATGGTAAAAACTTCAAGTTAAAGTGGTTGATTTTTTATTATCTGAAAAGCATACAAAATAAATACTTCTTTTCAAAACATTCATGGGGAAGGTGAACACTTAAAAGTTAAAATGATACAGAATATCCCAACATACACTTGACATGGGGTTAACAACCAAAATATATAAAGAATTCACACTATTTAGCAACCAAAAGGCAAGCCACCCAATCAAAAGATGGCAAGTGAACCTGGTGAGATACTTCTAAAGAGACAAAAGACATGATCAATACATAAAAAAAAAAAAAGCTCAACATTACTTTTCAGTAGGAAAATACAAATGACATATCAACATATATCAACACACAATGATATATCAAACTCAATCAAAAATAGCTTATGTAAAAAAAGATTGAAACTAGTATGGCAAGAATAAAAAGGAGCATTCTATACAGTTTGGGAATATAAGGAAGAATAGCCCCTATGGAAAATGGTATGAAGTTTTTGTCTTTTTATTTATTTATTTATTAGTGAGATAGTACAGCGGGTAGGGCATTCGCCTTACAAGCGGCCAACATGGCCGACCCCAGTTCGATTCCTCCGCCCCTCTCGGAGAGCCTGGCAAGCTACTGAGAGTATTCGATATGCCAGACACAGTAACAACAAAGTCTCCAATGGAGATGTTACTGGGCCCGCTCGAGCAAATCGACGATCAACGGGAGGGCCTTTACCTTATTAGTGAGACATCATGAGGTACAGTTGTAGACTTAACAAATTTTGTGCTTGGGTTTCAATTATACAATGATCAAATTGAAGTTTTTGTCTTTTTTAGTCACCTTGATTTTTTCAGTTTTCCCCCTACCATGTTTCTTTATATTCCACATAGTAAAGAGATAATTTTGTGTCTGTTCTTCTAACTTCATTCACTATGATATTCTTCAGATCCATCCACATAGTAACAAATTGCATGATTTCATATTTTCTTATGGCAATATTCCTTTCTGTATATAGTTTCTTCGTTCAGTCATCTGTTCCTGGGCACTTGGGTCATTTCCAGATTTAAAGGCCCTCCCATTGATCGTTGATTTGCTCGAGCGGGCCCAGTAACGTCTCCATTGGAGACTTTGTTGTTACTGTGTCTGGCATATCGTATACTCTCGGTAGCTTGCCGGGCTCTCCGAGAGGGGTGGAGGAATCGAACTCAGGTCGGCCAAGTTGGCCGCTTGTAAGGCAAACGCCCTACCCGCTGTGCTATCGCTCCAGCCTCCCTTTGGGTATATTCTTAAGGAGTGATATTGCTGGGTCATATGGAAGCTCAATTCTGAGATTTTTGAGGAATGTCTATATTGTCTTCCAAAAAAGACTGGACCAGTTGACATTCCCACCAGCAGTGAGGGTCCTTCACCCCCACATCCATGTCAACCTTGATTGTTTTTGTTCTTTTTGATGCATGCCAGCTGCTCTGGTGTGAGGTGATATCTCACAGTTTTGATTTGCATTTCCCTGATGATTAGTGATGTTGAGCATTTTTAAAATACGTCTTTGGCCATTTGTATGTCTCGAGGAAGTTTCTATTCATTTCTTCCCATTTTTTGATGGGGTTGGATGTTTTCTTATTTAAAGTTCTACCAATTCTTTTATATATCTTGATATTAACCCTTATCAGATGAGTGGTGGGCAAATAAATTTTAAAAGGGTAAAAAAATGTTATAGCATCAGGCCCTAGAGTCTGTTTAATGTATGCTGTGAAACTTAATAATGAAAAGATTAATATATAGAAAAAATAAAACTAACAGTAAACTTCAAATTGTTTTTATAAATTTGATAAGAGAACCTAACATTGTGGGTTTTTTTCCTTCTTTTTTCAAACATTGTGGTTGGTTTTTTTTTTTTTTTTTTTTTTTTGCTTTTGGGTCACACCCGGCGATGCACAGGGGTTACTCCTAGCTAATAAAACTTCTTCTAGTTTGGTTTTGGACAAACTAGTTTCATTTTGATTATGGAATAAAGTTAAAGAATAAATTTAGTAATAGAATTGTAAAACTTGGTTAAGCATAAAAATCTAAATCCTATTTTACTTTTTGAGAAACTTTATTTTTAACTCTTCATATATCATACTTAAAAAAATATTTGGATCACATCCAGCTTGGTGTTACAGGGTCACTCCTAGTGGTGCTCAGTGTCTGCTGCTGGGGATTAAACTTAGGCCTCCTGCAAATCATTCATGATAGTCCACTGAGCTATTTTTTTGGACTCTGTGTTAATTTTTAGAAATCTTCCTAAGAAAGATGTATGTGTGTGTGTGTGTGTGTGTGTGTGTGTGTAATCATTTTTAACTGAGTAAGATTAGGTCTATCTTGCTACTTTTATAAGGATCTATTTGGCTCTTTTGTAAATTGAAGATACAAATGTCTTAATAATGTTATGTTTTGCTATACATTGTATATTTTACTATTTTAACATCCTAGGATTTATTTAGTCATTATTCATGAGTTACATAAATTGTATGGAATAATCTAGGTGAGCTAGCAGTAAAACAAATATATCACCCTTCTGTTTTCTTACTGTTTGCTCACTTCATCAAATCTTTGAAATAAAGTATGAGAAAAGTTTGGAAATACCAATTCTTCAGGGACTTATTTTGTTTTTTTATTTTTCACTGTTGTAAAGATTTTATTGTTTAAATAATAAGACTTTTAAAAAATCTGGGCTAGTTTCTTTTTTTTTTTTTTTAATTTTTATTAGTGAAACACCATGAGGTACAGTTGTAGACTTACAAATTTTTGTGCTTGGATTTCGGTCATACCATGATCAAACACCCATCCCTCCACCAGTGCCCATTTTCCACCACCAAGGATAATATCCCTCCCCCCCCATTCCCCCCATCCCCCCTGCCACTGTGGCAGGGCATTTCCTTTTGTTTTCTCTCTCCTTTTGGGTGTTGTGATCAGCAAAAGAGGCATTGAGTGGCAAACATGTTCAGTCCAGTCCACTTTCAACCTGCATCTCCCCTCCTGGGAGGATCCTCCAAACACCCTCCATTCGGTGCTCCCTTCTCTATTTGAACTGTCCTTTCCCCTAGAATACCCGGCTGGCCTCTAAGCTATGGAGTAATCCTCCTGGTGTTGATCTCAGCTATTCTTGGGTATTAATCTTATATTTTGTTATTTTATACCAGGGACTTATTTTTAGGTTTCCATTTGACCTAGTTGAGTATTCTTAATTTTTCACTTTATCCCCATGCCCGCAAAGAGAAAAAAAAATTACAAAAGTTTTGCAATTAGACAAACCAGATGAATGCAAAGAATTGAAACACTTTAGAGTAATGGTGAAACTGATCTTATGAGTAAAATCTCAGACTATGACTTTTGAGATGATTCAAATGTATTTCTATAAAACTCAGGACTCAATTCATGAACGATGCATTTTTAAGAATGAACGCAAATATCCTCATCCAGTTCCTCATTCAGCAGGAAGAACATCTTGTGAGTGTTTTGTAAGAAGAACTTAAATAATTTTGCTAACGGGACATAGGCAGTATTCTTTTACTCTTTATGATGCTTGTGCACTGAAAAACTGTTTAGCAGTTTGGAAGTGAACAACAGCTTAGGGCAAATGTATATATGAGGATAGGAAGGAAACATGATACAGAAATCAAAATTATTATAATCATGAAGGAACAAAAATGGTTGCCTTTCCTTTAAAAAGATTATCCAACTTTGGTTTTTTGGTTTCATTAATTTTGATCATACTAGTAATTTTTCTCCTAAATGTGTTAAATACAATTCCTAAAAATTTCCTTCTATCATCAACCAGACATTTCATTCATCAAAAACATTTAGTTGCGACAATTTTACACCACTTGCCCCATAAAAATGTGATTGTTAAAAACATAATGTCTTTATATAGCTATTTTAGCATTAAAATGCTATAAAATAACCAACTGATAATATGCTACTTCTCATTTTTTGTACCTCTATCAGGAACCATCGTATAGCAGATATTAATAACTTAAATGATTAAGATAAATTGTATATTGAGAATTTGTCTATATCATCAGAACAACATGCAAGTCCTACAACAATATTTTTCTGCTCACTTGACTAAGAGGATCTGAAATTACAGTAAAAGTAAAACAATGAAAGGGCTGGGCAGAGGGGCGTGGGGGTTGAGGGGATGGTGAGGAACAGGAAGCAAAACCCATTCACAAAATGATTATCATGACGATTCTACCAATATTTATAAAGACCACACTGCTCTTTTATGAATCAAACATGTTAGCAAAAGAATTTCTTAATATAACAGAAAAGAGATATTAGAAAATCAAAAACAAAAAAAAAAAAGGAAAGAAAATGTGTACACTCAGAAGAGTGTATGTAACGGCACACCCACTGTACATTCATAGCATTTTACTTATCATCACTATTATTATTTTGGGTTTTGGCCATACCCTGCAATGCTCAAGCTTTGCTCTTGGCCCTGCACTCAGGAATTACTCCTGGCGGAGCTCAGGGGACCATATGCATGGGATACTGGGAATTGAACCCTGATTGGCAAGGAAAATGCCTAGGAAAATGCCTTACCCACTGTATTATCACTCCAAACCCAAACTGCATACCATTTTCTATTAAAGATTTGTTTTTGTTTGGGTCACATCAGGTGATGCTCAGAGGCTATCCCTGGTGCATTAAGGGTCATTAGTGGTGGTGTTGAGGGAACGATGGAGAAAAAGAACAAATCCAGGCCTTTTTCATGCAAAACAGATGCATTGGTTCTTTGAGCTATCTCCCAAGCCATAACAAGATTTTTTAAATTATTACTGTAACCTATGAAATTCCAGTTTTTACTCACAAGAAAATTTATTCACAAATACAAGATTTTCAATCCCATAAACCAAATGGATACAAATGAAAGATAATGCTATATATTTTCAATTTTGTTCAACATTAAGAAAAAGTAGTTTTGCTTGGAACATGCCTGGCTTGGCTTCACTCCTCTGTACGACAAGAAACAACAATTCTGAAATAAC